GCTGGGATTATAGGCGTGAGCCACTGTGCCCAGCCAAAACTTCATTTTATTTTATTTATTTATTTATTTAGTTTTTTAAGATAGGGTTTCACCATGATGGCAAGGCTGGTCTTGAACTGCCGACTTCAGGTGATCCACCCACTTCGGCCTCCCAAAGTGCTAGGATTACAGGCGTGAGCCACCACGCCTGGTGCCCAAACTTTATTTAAAAAAAAAAAGTTCAAGAAGAAAGTTTAAGAGCTGGAAAAAGATTAAACCCAACTGACAAAATACTGGTAGCTGCCAATGCCAGGTAATAGGCGCAGGAGACGCTGTGGCAGCTTCCTCCTACCTTGAGGGAGCACCGTGATGTGTTCATGATCAAAGTATGGAAAATCTGAGGTGGAATTCCCATGGACCTGTACGCTCTGCACTCTCGGAAATCTAAGGCGGAATTCCCATGGACCAGTGCGCTCTGCACTCTCGGAAATCTAAGGCGGAATTCCCATGGACCAGTGCGCTCTGCACTCTCGGAAATCTAAGGCGGAATTCCCATGGACCAGTGCGCTCTGCACTCTCGGAAATCTAAGGCGGAATTCCCATGGACCAGTGCGCTCTGCACTCTCGGAAATCTAAGGCGGAATTCCCATGGACCAGTGCGCTCTGCACTCTCGGAAATCTAAGGCGGAATTCCCATGGACCAGTGCACTCTGCACTCTCGGACCATGTGGAATGTGGATGCTGGGAGGAATCTGTGAGGCGTGGCAGCCTCCCCGCTGGGCTGGGGCCTCACCGCCTGCAGCTTGTCCAGGTTCTCCTGCAGCACGTTCTCGGTGTGTCTGTAGGCCTTGGCCACCAGCAGTCTTGCTTCCTGTGAGTGGAGGAAACTGTGTCAGGGGCAAGGCTGGCTGCCTGACTCCAGCACCAAAGCACAGAAAAGAAACGCAGGGCTGGAAAACATGGCCTTTCCCCTCCCAGGATGGCAGGACTCCTTGTCTAGCAGGTCTCCTGCCCCTGTGACCCCTGCCAGCAAAGCAGGGCCACCCCATGCCTGCCCACCCACCACTCACACCCACAGCTGCCTCACAGGCACACAGCCGGCCCTTCCTGGCCCAGTCTGAAGGCCTTGTGGGCCTGGCTCTATCGCTCGCTCATTTATTTGATATTCTTCCCGGATTCACATCTGTAATTTCATCAGGAGCATCTATGTTCTCCACAGGTCAGAGCTACCGCAGAGCCCAGAAGGAAGAAAGCTACGTGGGTCCTGTAGCTGAGCTCAGATGGGGTAGCCGTGGGCGGCCCTCATGTGGCAAACCCGGGGAACTCCTTTCCCAGGAAGCACGTAGCACAGTGGCAAGGCCAGAACAGACTCACATGATCCATCATCTGCTGCAGGCCTTGGCTGAAGGGGCGCCTCCCGATGTCCATGAGGCCCTCCTGTGCCTCAGGGAAGGAGATGGGCCCGATGCCAGGTGCCATCCCAAACTGCTTCACCATGGAGTAGGCAATGCGGGTGACCTTCCTCAGGTCGTCTTGTGCCCCTGAAGGGTGGTCAAGACAGAGGGACCCTCAGCACTGCAGGCACAGAGCCGCGCTGGCCCAGGCATCCCGGTCAGAGCCCTAGGGCTGCACTGTGCCTCCCCATCCATTTCCTCCCAAGGAATCCCACCATGAAGCTGGACAGCGAGGACGTTGGCACCTCGCCACTGTTCCTTAAGAGAGCACCTTAAACTTTCAGAAATGCTCTTTGTTTTGAAATCTAGAATGGGGGGTGCATCAGAGCTCACTGCAAGGCAGTTCTCAAGCATAAGCCTGGCCTATGTGAGGCAAACCTGAAGACCTGGAGCCCAGGGGTCCCAGGACCCTCCAGCTCAGCACATCCCAGTGAAGTAACAGCTTGAGAACTGTCAAGCTGCGTCAATTTCATTCCGTTTCCTGTACACATTACCAATAATTAACCAATTAAATGTCTTTAGAGTCAGCATCTACGTTAAGTTTTTGTCTAATTAAATTGTCTAAAAACTCTTGCTTGGCTCCAAATCTCCCATGAACACAACTTATCTTTTAAAAATACTCAATACAACTCAAAACTATGCCTACACCAGATTCACCCCATCACATGTACTGGAACAGAAGGGAGACTGCTGTGGAAACAGCAGGCCCAGGTGGCCACTCTGCTCCTCACCAGAAGTGACCCTGTTGAAGGTCAGTGCTTCTGACGCCCGGCCCCCAAGGGCCATGCACATTCGCTCAAACAGCTGCTCCTTGGTGAAGAGGTGCTGGTCTCTGGGGAGCATCTGAGCAAAGCCCAGGGCAGCGTTTGTCCGAGGCGCTATGGAGACCTGCACAAGGGCAAGACGGCCAGGTCAGCAGGCAGGACGTGGGCTTTGAGGAGGAAGCTGTGGGAGAGACTAAGAGACTCCGTCACCAGAGCGTCTCACAGCAGGAAGGCAAATCTGTACCATTTACAACAAAGGACCCTAACACTACACACGGCCAGCCCACAAAGACAGTGGGTTCCCAACCACAGGAGCCGGTTCACAGCCAGGGAGTGTCTTCCTCATGCACGACCAGGTGCCAGGCCCTGAGAAGACAGCTGAGAGGCCAAGGACAAGTCACGCCTCCAACGGCCACTGCACTGACCCCTCACCGAGGGTCCAGTAGCAATGGGATGCCAGGGAGAAGCGACTGTCCTCACCTCTGCTGCTCCCCACACCCCCACATCAGGTGTGCCAGGAGGTCAGCTTGGGGCCAACACACTAACCCAATGAGAAGGAACTGCTGTGTGGGAGATGGAGGGAGACGGGGCAGGGGCAGGTCCTCGGCTGGCTCAGCTGCTGTTTCTGAGAACTGTGGCAGCAAGACGACCACATCTAAGTGCTCTGAGAATCCCGAGAGAAAGCTTGCTTTAAAACCTAAAGCTAGCCGGGCGTGGTAGCTCACATTTGTGGTCTCAGTACTTTGGGAGGTAGAGGCCGGCGGACTGCTTGAGCCCAGGAATTCGAGACTAGCCTGGGCAACATAACAAGACCCCTTCTCTACAAAAAATACAAAAATTACCTGAGCATGGTGGCGCATGCCTGTAATCCCAGCTACTCAGGAGGCTGAGGCGGGAGCATCACTTGAGCCCAGAAGGTCGAGGCTGCTCTGAGCTGTGATCATACCAATGGACTCCAGTCTGGGAGACAAAGAGAAAGACCCCATCTCAAACAAAAAGGTGGCTCTGAGTAACTGCTGCAGTGATGATCCCAATAATCACCAAAGCCGTAACAGTCCATTCACAACCTTTCCCTCGCAGGACACTGAGCCTTGGGAAGGAGACTGACTTCTTCAGTGTGACTATCTCACTTTTGCCCAACAAATAAAGTACAAATTCTTTTTTTTTTCCCCTTTGAGAGAGAGTTCCACTCTGTCACCCAGGCTGGAGTGGAGTAGCGTGGTCTTGGCTCACCACAGCCTCTCCCGGCTGGGTTCAAGCAATTCTTGCGCCTTTGCCTTTCAAGTAGCTGGGATTACAGGTACCCACCACCACGCCTAACTAATTGTTGTATTTTTGGTAAAGACGGGGTTTCACCATGTTGGCCAGGCTGGTCTCGAACTCCTGACCAAGTGATCCAGCTGCCGTGGCCTCCCAAAGCCCCTGCATTAATTTTGACTTGTTGAGATACTGTGTTAAAACGGTCGGGCGCGGTGGCTCACGCCTGTAATCCCAACACTTTGGGAGGCTGAGGCGGGTGGATCACGAGGTCAAGAGATCGAGACCATCCTGGTCAACATGGTGAAACCCCGTCTCTACTAAAAATACAAAAAATTAGCTGGGCATGGTGGCGCGTGCCTGTAATCCCGGCTACTCAGGAGGCTGAGGCAGGAGAATTGCCTGAACCCAGGAGGCGGAGGTTGCAGTGAGCCGAGATCGCGCCATTGTACTCCAGCCTGGGTAACGAGAGCGAAACTCCGTCTCAAAAAAAAAAAAAAATGTTATGTTCGTTGCTGGGTTTTCAGTGTGCCATAAATGGGCCCCCAGCTGAGTGTCCACTCGCCCACCAGGCCTGGCTCTGGCCCCATAACTGCAGTGACACATACCTGGTCCGCAAATGCTGGCCTCAGCCCTGCTGGGAGCCTGGGATGTGCAGGGAACTCAGATTAACACCCTGCTGTGCTGTAACTCACACCCGAGAATCAGTAACAGGGACCCGCACGGATTAACCAAGCTGGCCGGCGGCTACACGGTGTGCATTGTTTGCAGCGAGCCCTGAGGTGGGAGCACAGCACTGCTGCCTTCTCAGGCGAGCCCCGGCCTGCACCGGCTCCACTGTGTTCTGGACAGCCACCTCCTCTTGGCAGCACTCAGGCAGGTCTTAGGGAAGCTGGCTGTTAACGTCAACATCTCGTAAGAATAAATTCCCATCGAGTTCACAGCTGCCTACAAGAGCATTTTTTTTTTTTTAAAGTAGAGACAGGGTTTCACCATGTTGGCCAGGCTGGTCTCAAACTCCTGACCTCGTGATCACCCACCTCGGCCTCCCAAGGTACTGGGATTACAGGAGTGAGCCATTGTGCCCGGCCTAGAGTAGTATTTTTAAATGTACGTTCAACTCACTTCTTTCCCAAGTCAGAAGTCACTTTGGGGTGGACAGGCTAAGACAGGCAAAGGCAGTGAAACGTCACTGGGAGGAGTGATCTTCCTGGAGTCACCCGAGGAGCAGCACCACGCTCCAATGGGACAGGCCACTCCTGTCCCCATGTCCGAGTTCCGGCCCATCACCTGGGAGTCACCTCCCACTGTGCTTCCTGCTCCCTGGATCATGACAGTGGCAGGCTTTTTCACATGACCTACAGACACAGGCGGGATGTCAGCCAGCGACGCCCAACGCCCACATGCCAAGACCCACCTTCATCACGGCCTCCGTGTGCTCCAGCATCCAGCCCACCAAGGCATGGCCCGACTCGTGAAACGCGACCACTTTCTGCTCTTCCTTAGAGAGGATCTTGCTCTTTTTGGCAGTCCCTGAAAAAATGCCTGGGTGTGAGCTGAGGCCTGGCCCTCTCCCCCGCCAGGCCCTGCTCCTGCCCCTGCCCCGTGGAGTCAAAGCAAGACCCCCTCTGCAGGTCTGTCTCCTGTAGCTCTGCCCCAAATTCACTGCAGTCGTTGCTTCGGACGCCCCGACTCAAAGGGACGCTCTTCAGGTGAAAGCTGTGGCAGGAGGTCGTGATTTCTTCTTCCATAAACGTCACCATCATCGAAATTGTGGAAGGACGTCGTGATTTCTTCTTCCATAAACGTCGCCATCATCGAAATTGTGGAAGGACGTCGTGATTTCTTCTTCCATAAACGTCACCATCATCGAAATTGTGGAAGGACGTCGTGATTTCTTCTTCCATAAACGTCACCATCATCGAAATTGCTGCTGCTGCTGCTTTTAGGAGCCAGCACAACCCTCCTGAAGAGCCTCTCCTCCTGCCCCAGGGTTGAGGGACCCGGAGGGCCAGGGCAGGGGTCACAGACAGCAGCTTCTGACTTTCTCCCTGGCAGGATGGGCAGAGGTCTCCTCCGAGTTACGGGCCTCCTGCTTACTCTCCCTCTCCCCTCAGACCTGGCGGGGCAGCTCTTGCCTGTTACTTATGGCTCTTTACGGCTTTCACTCATCCCTTCGGTGGCCTTTTGCCTCAGGGACAAGGCTTTTTAAGAGACAGCGTTGTTGCTGTTTCTTAAAAAAAAAAAAAAAAAAAAAAAAAAAAGGCTAGAGTGCAATGGTACAATCATGGCTCACTGTCACTTGAACCTCCTGGGTTCAAGCAATTCTCTCACCCCAGCCTCCTGAGTAGCTGGGACCAGAGGTGTGCTTCACCACCATGCCTGGCAATGTTCCTTTTTTTAAGAGATGGGGTCTTGGGGTCTTGCTATGTTGCCCAGGCTGGTCTCGAACTCCTGGCCTCAAGCAATCCTCCTGCCTCAGCCCCAAAGTGCTGGGATTACAGGCCAGCTAGGGACAAATGTTTGCATTAAATTTCCCCTGTTCAGCTCGCTGGTGAGGCTTCATATCTGTAAGTTTCCATTCTGTGCAACTTGATTCCGCTCATGGTCCTGAGCACTCAGTACCATGCTACTGGGACCTTCCACCAGCACTTCACTGTAGCCGATGAGTTACTTCAACTGCAGCTGGCTACAGGACTATGCACAAAGCCACAAGACCACAGGACTTAGAGGCCGGCTTTACTGGAAATCAACGTTTCTAGAATGGGTGAGCGCTGGCAGGCTGACAACAGAAGGGGAAGAGCCCAGTCTGACGGACAGCACAGCCGAGCCTGCAGCCTGGGCACCAGAAGGACACCATGCGAGACGCCCATGCCACCTACCAGAGATGAGCACTCAGAGGCGTCTCTCCCGCTGGGAGCCTGGGCCCCCATGCTCCCTGCACTTCCTTTCATCAGACCATTCAGGCATTTGCCCGTGAACCTGCGCTGACCGCTCCCCACTCCCTGTGCAAACGGCTCATTGCCACACCCTCTTCTCTCTGCCCAAACCTTCACTTCTGCCTCGTGGGATCTGGGGATGGACGATGGCTGTCCCCACTCCTGGTGCCCTCCCTGCCCAGGATCTGCGACTAGTAAGTCTTTGAACCTGTTTCCCATTGCAGTGGGGACTGAATTTGTACCTGCCACAAGGAAGAACCAGGGGCTGCCCAGGCTGGGTTTTCTCGGGGACGCGGGGGACACAGGGCAGGCTTCCAGCACCAGAGTGATGGTCAGGCAGGCATAACCTGGACGCGAATCAGACAAGAGGCGCAGGGCGTCTGCCAATGTGAGCAAGTTTCCGGGAGGGACTCCTGGACTCACGACGGACATTAGGCTGCTCCCTGGATCAAAGACGCATCCTACCACACACTGCGCCTTCATCTCCCTGAACGCAGGACTGCTGGCCACCAGGCACTGGACCCCAGTTTAGCTCAGGCTGTCCACACTAAAGATGAATGCAGAGCACCCACTCAATGCATCACACACTTGAGATGGTGTCCTTTCAGTATTTTCGTTTCTTCTCCTGGAGTCAGTGTTGCCCAGGCGAAATAGCAGTGCTGTGATCACAGCCCACTGGAGCCTCAACTCCTGGGCTGAAGCCACCCTCCTCCCTTGGCCTCCTAAAGTGCTGGGATCACCAGTGTGAGCCACATCCTCCCTGGCCTGTAGTTCCCACTTACTCCGTTCAGCTTTGATACTAAGCTTACCAATTTCCATATAAAAGTAAATGGTTACACAAAAACGCCCTTTAGTAAGACACGGTCAGTGCCTGCCAGCCCTTTTCACTTGCGGAGCTGTCGGGGAGAAGCCACGGCATGTTCTGTACAATCTCTGGCACAGCAGCTGCCCCCACACCCATCCTCTTCAGGGACCTACTGCTTTCCCAAGCTGCAGCCCTGGGAGTCCACGAGAGGCGTGTTTGTGCCAGGGCGTCACTCACATTGAGAGTGAGGGAACTTGGTTCTCTCAGGGACAGCTCGCCAGGGAGGTTCATGCTCCTTACGGCAAGAACCACTTCCCTTTTCAAATGTTCAATCCGTCTTGAGTGACGGTGTGTGTCTGAATCATTCAATGAGAAGATGGCCGACTGCTCACGTCTGGGTATCACCACCACAGCTACGGAAACCTCCAGTACCTCTGACTCCCAGTGTGGTCCTGCTCTCCTCAGACCCGGCACTGAGCAGTGAGTTCAGTGGCACTATCTCGACTCACCACAACCTCTGCCTCCTGGGTTCAAGGGAATCTCCTGCCTCAGCCTCCTGAGTAGCTGGAAATACAGGCGCCCACCACCATGACCAGCTACTTTTGTATTTTTAGAAGAGACGAGGTTTTGCCATGTTGGTTAGGCTGGTCTCAAACTCCTGACCTCAAGTGATCCACCTGTCTCAGCCTCCCAAAGTGTTAGGATTACAGGCGTGAGCCACCACACCTGGCTTTTTTTTTTTTTTTTTTTTTGAGACAGAGTCTTGCTCTGTTGCCCAAACTGAAGTGCGATGGAGTGACCTCAGCTCACTGAAACCTCGGCCTCCCAGGTTCAAGCAATCCTCCTGCCTCAGTCTCCTGAGTAGCTAGGATTACAGGTGTGCACCACCATATCCAGCTAATTTTTGTATCTTTAGTAGAGACGGGGTTTCACCATATTAGCCAGGCTGGTCTCAAACTCCTGACCCTGTGATCCGCCCACCTTGGCCCTCCCAAAATCCTGGGATTACAGACATAAGCCACCACGCCCAGCCCCAGTTATTTTGTATATTATTATTTTTATTTTGCGGGGGGAGCATTTTATTTTATTATAATGTTTTCTGTTCATTTTCTTTGGCAAAGCATTTTTATATTTCTGTCAGATGAGTCTGTCTACTCTTAGGTAAATACGTGATATTTTAAACTAAGAAAAACTATGTTGTATGAAGACATGAGCTATACACACTTAAACGCAACCTGTTTCCTTCCCGTGTGATGGTTCCCTGCTGTTGAATGACAGGACGCCCAGGCCATATCTGGCCCCGACCACCTCACCTCTAAATACCTGCCTGGGTATTTCTAGGGTTCAAGCCCTGCTAAGAACAGCATTATTCAAGGGCACGCCCCTCTTACCTGCAAGGACGCGCTCCACGGCGTACTCGAAGCTGAGCGTGTGCACGGACGTGTGTCCCTCCCGAGCTGCGTGTAGCGCAGCCTCATTGCAGATGTTGGCGATGTCAGCCCCTGTCAACACAAACAGCAGCCAGGCGTGGGGGCGGGCAGGCATGGGGGGGCGAGGTTCTGATCTATCACAGCTTAAGAGGAGAAGGGGCCCTCAAGGAAGAACAAAGCAGCTGGGCGCGGTGCTCACACGTGTCATCCCAGCACTTTGGGAGGCCGAGATGGGGGGGATCACCTGAGGTCAGGTGTTTGAGACCAGCCTGTGCAACATGGTGAAACACTGTCTCTACTAAATATACAAAAATTATCTGGGCATGGTGGCACATGCCTGTAATCCCAGCTACTCGGGAGCCCATGGCGGTAGAATCACTAAACCCGCAATGTGGAAGCTGCAGTGAGCCGAGATCGCGCCACTGCACTCCAGCCTGGGCAACAGAAGGGGACTCTGTCTCAAAAAAGCAGGGAAGAACAGAGAGGGAAAGAGACCAGGAGTGCTGGTGGGAATGTGCAGGAGAGAGAAGGCCCGGGGGCTTGTGCCAGGAGCAGAGCTAGAGAGAACGGCAAGCACTCGGACCACGTTCCACTGAGGCCATTCCACAGAGGACACATACAACCGCCCATGTCATTCCGCCTGACACCCATCTCCCGTCCAAAGCCCAGGTCCACACACCATCTTGTGACTGATTCCACCTAACAGCTCCTGAGCACTGATAGGAAAGAGATTATAGGCTCTCTAATATCCACAACATTGCAGTGAAAGGCATTAAAAAAGCATCAAAAGGGAAGTTCATGTCGTAACAGATGGGAGTTTTGTTTACATTAACTTTTAAAATGAAAGACCACAGAAAAACATCTTGATGTATGATTTTTTTTTGTTTTTTTTTTTTGAGACGAAGTTTCACTCTTGTTACCCAGGCTGGAGTGCAATGGCGCAATCTCAGCTCACTGCAACCTCCAACTCCTGGGTTCAGGCAATTCTCCTGCCTCAGCCTCCTGAGTAGCTGGGATTACAGGCACGCGCCACCGTGCCCAGCTAATTTTTTGTATTTTTAGTAGAGATGGGGTTTCACCATGTTGACTAGGATGATCTCGATCTCTTGACCTTGTGATCCACCTGCCTTGGCCTCCCAAAGTGCTGGGATTACAGGCTTGAGCCACCGTGCCCGGCCGATGTTTGATTTTTTAAAAAATTTTATTATTATTATTTTTTTAGAGACGGAGTTTCACCATGTTGGCCAGGATAGTCTTGAACTCCTGACCTCAGGTGATACACCCGCCTCGGCCTCCCAAAGTGCTGGGATTACAGGCGTGTGCCACCGTGCCCGGCAATGTACAATTTCTATTTCTACGACTTGACAGAGACTGTGAGGGTCAGAGGCAGGAGGTTTGCTGGCACCACCTGGTGCAGGGAGGTAAGACGCCCAGTCAGACGGGAAGCGCCCTGGATGATGGCTCACTGTGTGCACACAAACATGAGTCTCACTATCCCTGGAGTCAACACAGACCCAGAACCCCCATCTGGTTTCCCACCCCTGGGGAGGAGGAAGGAGTTCGGGGTGCCTTCCGGACCTCTGCTGCCCCACACACGTATTGGCTCCCACGCAGGCTTATACCAAGCAGGGGCCCCAGAGAAGGGGCAGCGCCTACCTATAGGAGGCCCCGATGCCGTGCATGCATGTAACATCACCTGCTCTCAACACGTGACACTGCCCAGGCTGCGGGTTGAGAACATACCACTGAATCCTGGCGTCAGCTCTGCCAGACGCTGGGAGTAAAAGGTGCTGGCCTGGGTCAACTTCAGGCTCTTCAGGTGCTGCTCAAAAATCTCCCGCCTCTCCTGCGAGAACCAGGGCAGGAGAGACCGTTGGGCTCACACCCAGCTATTGCTGCAGGCTCGGCACATATGTCTGTGGAGAGGCGGGGTGTCCCCGACGCATCTGCCCTAAGGACAAGCCCCACTTGGGAGGCCTGCGGACACCGCTGGTTTTTAAATCAGTGTTCTTTACCATCAGTCACCACCCACCCGGCTGTGAGTTGCAAGCAGAGCTGTTTTCTTTTTTGAGACAGGGCATCGCTCCGTCACCCAGGCTGGGGCGCAGCAGCACACATGGTCTCAGCTCACTGTAACCTCGGCCTCCTGGGTTCAAGCCATTCTCCTGACTCAGCCTCTCAAGTAGCTGGTATTACAGACAGGTGTGTGCCATCATGCCTGCCTAAATTGTGTATTTTTAGTAGAGACGGGTTTCGCCAAATTGGCCAGGCTAATCTCAAACTCCTGGCTTCAAGTGTGAGGGTGCCTCAGCCTCCCAAAGTTCTGGAATTACAGGCATGAGCAGCATTTTATTTCTCTTTCTCTTTTTTTTTTTTTGCTATTTCTTTTTTTTTGAGGTAGAGTTTTTTGCTCTTGTTACCCAGGCTGGAGTGCAATGGTGCGATCTCGGCTCACCGCAACCTCCGCCTCCTGGGTTCAGGCAATTCTCCTGCCTCAGCCTCCTGAGTAGCTGGGATTACAGGCACGCGCCACCGTGCCCAGCTAATTTTTTGTATTTTTAGTAGAGACGGGGTTTCACCATGTTGACCAGGATGGTCTCGATCTCTTGACCTTGTGATCCACCCGCCTCGGCCTCCCAAAGTGCTGGGATTATAGGCGTGAGCCACCGCGCCCGGCCTTATTTCTCATTTTTTTGAGACAGTTTCACTCTTGTTGCCCAGGTCGGAGTGCAGTGGTGTGATCTCGGCTCACGGCAACCTCCACCTCCTGGGTTCAAGCAATTCTCTTGACTCAGCCTCCCAAGTAGCTGGGATTACAGGCAAGTGTTACCACACCCAGCTAATTTTGCATTTTTAGTAGAGATGGGGTTTCTCCATGTTGGTCAGGTTGGTCTCGAACTCCCAACCTCTGGTGATCCACCTGCCTCAGTCTCCCAAAATGCTGGGATTACAGGCATGAACCACCACACCCAGCCAGGAGCAGCAATTTAAACATTAACAGAATGCTCTTGGATGGCTGGGCCTGGTGGCTCACGCCTGTAATCCTAGCACTTTGGAAGGCCAAGACAGATCACCTGAGGTCGGGAGTTGAAGACCAGCCTAGCCAATACGGTGAAACCCCATCTTTACTAAAATACAAAAATCAGCTGGGCATGATGGCAGGTGCCCATAACCCCAGCTACTTGCAAGTATGAGACAAGAGAATAACTTAAACCTGGGAGATAGTGGCTGCACTGAGCCGAGATCTTATCACTGCACTCCAGCCTGCGCAGCTGGGGGCGGGCGGGGTGAGGGGGGGACAAAAAACCTAGTGGGACATGGTGGTGCACGCCCGTAGTAGTCCCAGCTACTCAGCTTGAGCCCTGAAGGTCAAGGCTACCGTGAGTGGTGATTGCAGCACTGCACTGCAGCTTGGGTGACAGCGTGACACCCTTTCTCTAAAAATTAAAAGAAAAATACTCTAGTGGAATAGCTAAGGAAGCATGCCACACAAACCAACAGCTTATTCTGCAAAACTTCTAATTCCCACACGTTAAATGCATTGAAATCCTGATGTAAAATGTTTCTTACACAGTCAAGAAACACAGGAGCTGCCCTCCCCTGGAGAAGCAGTGTCCCAGAGGGAAAGGCCTCTGCTCCGCCCCTCCACTCTCCATCCCAACTCTGGAAGGGTCTCCACTCCCCTCTGCACCCTCCATCCCAACAGAGGCCAAGCACCTGCTGAGGCATCATCGCAGCCGCCTGTGTGCACCCAACCCCGCTCCCCACCAGCTGACCATGAGGCCCACTCTCCAAACCCTCCCCTCCATGAGCGGAATTCCTGCTCCCTCAGGCCACAACCAAGGCCCTTTGGCCAAGAGGAGTAATGTCCAACCAGAGCCCCGTAAGAGAGGAGGCCTCATGACTTCTACCCCACCCCCGCCCTCAGGCCAGCTGCACAGTCCATGTCCCCAGAGTCCACTCTCCAGATGGAAGGGAGTGAGGCCATGCAAGAATCAAGCTTCCCACTCTTTTTCCTCCTGGATTTTGTTTGAAAGGATTTGCTATAAAACCCAGACTGATACCCAGGATAAAAGAGGAGCCAACAGCAGGTAAAGACAACTGCAAAACCAAGAGCAGTGGGTGCAGGAGGTGGACAGGTCTGCCAGGGCATGTGCGGCCCATGTGGGGGCACAGTGGGCAGCACCAGCACCTGTGGGGCTGTGGCAGGCTTCACACCAAGACTCAACTTAAAGGAGAGGCCAAACCACTCACGACCAGAGCAAGGGCGGCCCAGGCAGAGTGGGAGAGGCTGGGGTCCCGGCTCTGACCTGCAGCGTGGGAAGATCGATGAAGACGTGCCGGTCCAGTCGGCCTGGCCTCATCAGAGCACCATCCAAAATGTCGGCTCGGTTCGTGGACGCCAGGACGATAACATGGTCTGTGGTTCCCATTCCTGAGGGGACAGAGAAGACAGTGGCCCTGAGGGTGGGGCTTCTGAAACAACAGATTTTCCCTGCAGGTTCCCCTTCAGGACTCAGGAGTGGAGAGGCATCCCCCACCCCGAGCCGTAGCGAGAAAGGAACAGCTCTGTCCTCCTTAACTGGGAGCTGAGCTGTGAACCTGCCCTCATCACTCTCAGCTAGTATCACCAGAAGGAACAGGAATTCGCTTATTAGACAACTGAAAACAGCAGTGCCTTCCCTGGGGCTGGCTACAGACGCAGAAGGGTCTGAGGCTCTCCTGGAGCTCCCGTGGCACCCTGCAGGGTCTCACGGTCTCACTGTTGGTTCCCACAGCCCCACTTGCCGGGCCCTGTCATTATTATTGTGACCTTGTAACATCTTTAATAGCTTGATTTAGGCTATGAGGTGAAACATTTTATCTTTTAACACCTGGCCTTAGGCCCTGGGTTTCAGGCTTGACGGTTCTCATCAGAGAATTTAAAAGTGAGTCCAGCCAGGTGCGGTGGCTCACGCCTGTAATCCCAGCACTTTCGGAGGCCGAGGCGGGCCAATCACGAAGTCAATAGATCGAGACCATCCTGGCCAACAAGGTGAAACCCCATCTCTACTAAAAATACAGAAATTAGCTGGGCATGGTGGTGCGTGCCTGTAGTCCCAGCTACTTGTGAGGCTGAGGTAGGAGAATCGCTTGAACCCAGGAGGAGGAGACTGCAGTGAGCCGAGATCGTGCCATTGCACTCCAGCCTAGTGAGAGAGAGAGAAACTCCGTCTCGGAAAAAAAAAAAAAAAAGTGAGTTCAGAAACAATCACTGACCCCTGGTGTATGTGAACCTTGACTGGCCCCTGATGTGAAAAAATCAACAGCAAAATGAGATTTACGAAGCTGCAGGGAACACCTGAATGGATGCCCATAAGAATTTTCAGGTGTTACATAATGCTGTGATATTTCTTTGAATTTAAAAAAATGTACTCAGAGATCATAAGATTCAAAACTCTGGGTCTGCTTTAAAGGAATCCACTGACGGCCAGGAACAGTGGCTCACACCTGTAATCCCAGCACTTTGGGAGGCCAAGGTGGGCAGATCACCCGAGGTCACAAGTTTGAAACCAGCCTGGCCAACATGGTGAAACCCCATCTCTACTAAAATAAAAAAATTACCCAGGCATGGTGACAGGCACCTGTAGTCCCAGCTACTCAGAAGGCTGAGGCAGGAGAATCGCTTGATACTGGGAGGCGGAGGCAGAGGCTGTTGTGAGCCACTCTGTCAAGGGTGCAAGCAGAACTCAGCAGAGAGAAGACAGCGTTTGAGGCCAGTGGGGCTGCAGCGCTTCTCCACAGGCAGAAACCGAGCCTGACCAACCTCCCACTTCACATAGAAGCTAACTTAAAATAAGATCATGGATTAGCACAGCTCCTAGGGCAGTGTGTGCTCGACACACTCACTGCCACATTAAGGACAGGGGTAGGGGTGTTCCAGGGTCACACTGGGACCAGGATCCTGGCTTCCCAGGGCCTCATTCAGTGCTTAGACATGGTGAGTTCACACACTGGATATGAAAGACCCCATGGCAACCACCGCCATGCACACATGGCTGATGACTTGACTTCTCACAGGCCGAAAACACAGAGCCTGGCAGCTGAGACAGGGTAAGAACTTGAGCCTGGGAGGTGGAGGCTGCAGCAAGCTACGACGGTGACACTGCACTCCAGCCTGGGCAATGGACAGTGAGCTACGACGGTGACACTGCACTCCAGCCTGGGCAATGGACAGTGAGCTACGACGGTGACACTGCACTCCAGCCTGGGCAATGGACAGTGAGCTACGACGGTGACACTGCACTCCAGCCTGGGCAATGGACAGTGAGCTACGACGGTGACACTGCACTCCAGCCTGGGCAATGGACAGTGAGCTACGACGGTGACACTGCACTCCAGCCTGGGCAATGGACAGTGAGCTACGACGGTGGCACTGCACTCCAGCCTGGGCAATGGAACAAGACCCTGTCTCTGAAGAAAAAAAAAAGCTGAAGCATGACATTTTCACAGCAGCCTTTTCTGTGTGTGGCTGCATGGTAGGGGCCGCCATCTTGGCTTTGCCATCTGGGGCTGCCCATGTCTTAGGGAAGGCTGTGTGCACTGTTGGCGTCCGCGGCTCCAGCGTGCAGTCAGAGCTCCTGCTCCCCATCACTTCTTAGCACAGGAGCCGGGACCTGGATGTCCGTTGCTGGAGCAGCCTCCAATGCTGACTTAGGCCTCCCAAGGGGGTCTGGGGTCTGTAGGACACCACTGTGGCCCAGCTGACGTGACCAACAAGGCGGGTGTTCCTTTTCCTTGGTGTTTTTCCCACGACTGGCACAGCACACGCCCATCCTGTGCATGTCAATGAACAGAAACTACTCTTCCCCGCAGAAGCAACAAAGCCCGGCCTGGGACCTCAGCGGGGCTGAGCGTGCACAGCTGCAGCTCTGCATAAAGGGACTTGTTTAGTGCTGGCACAGCTCAACAAGAGGCCTTCAGTCAGTGATTCCCAGGCCTCAACAAATCCGGGGACGGAAGCAGCTATTCTTACAGTAGCATAGAGAGGTTCCATGGAAAAGGCTGCTTGATAAATGCTTGCCGGTAGGCTCAAGTCACCCGAAAAGGTGGCCTCTGTCTTCAGTGCAAAAAGCACCCCAAGCAGAGTGAACGACGTCTGTGGCCCTGTGGGATCCATGAGACAGAGGCAGTGGGGCCTCTTCTCAGAGCTTCCTCATAGTCCCCTGGAAGGGCGCCTGGTCAACACAGGGAAGGCCGCAGACTCACAGTCCACACCACGCAGCCAGCATGGCCCAGCCACCTGCTTTGCCCAGCCCAAGAGGATCCTAAGACTCAGGCCCAAACCCAAGGTGTGCTGTAGATTTCCTCAAAACCCAAAATCACCACCTTGAGCAGCCTCCAGAAGCAATGGTCAGAGCCACACTGAAGGCCACACAGCACCAAACAGGCCACATAAAGATGCTCCACAGCGACACAGCACAGCAAGCTTGGGGATCCAGAGGCCTCTGAAACCCACGGTGATCTCTGCTTGAGGCGCAGGGCCAGCTTCCCCAGCAGAGGCAGTGGGGTCCCTTAAGGACCCATTTCTGAGAAGGTGTCTCCTCAGTGACACCTCAGACATCGCAGAATCTGAACGACTCACCCCACGTCTCTGAAGACACTCTGTTCTCTGAAAACTCTATTCCCAGGACCATTTGCTCTGTGTGCAGAGGCCGCTGTTGAGGTCTCAGTTGTTCACGCGTTAGTTCCTGAACCAGCGTGTTGACAGACAGATGAGGTGCGGGAGACAAGCAGCAGGAGAGACATGAAGTGTTCTCTGCAAACACCTTAGCGACTGCGCTGCGTCCTAGGCAGTCGGGAATCTCACTTTGATCCTCTACCCTCGGAGCCTGCAGAGCCCACGGAACACCTGCGTGGCCATCAGTCCATCTGACTTCACAGCAGTCCAGAGGCAGATGGAAACACAGGGCACCCAGAAGAGACGCAAGACAGCACGAGGCCAAAGCCCTCAGCAGAGTCCAGCAGCTACAGGCACGGTGACACTGCAAACTGCAGGGTGCACCACAGCACTGCTGCACCGGTCCAGCCAAATGCACTGCTCGACCTGACGCTGAGGATGTGTCACAAGCACTGCTGCACCGGTCCAGCCAAATGCACTGCTTGACCTGACGCTGAGGATGTGTCACAAGCACTGCTGCACCGGTCCAGCCAAATGCACTGCTCGACCTGACGCTGAGGATGTGTCACAGCTCCAGAGAGGACATTCCTTAACGTCACTGGCCTGTACAAAGTGTCACAGCCACCAAAGACAAAGACGGAGAAACAGTGGAGCCCACCTGTAATCCCAGCTACTTGGGAGGCTGCAGCAGGAGGATTTCCTAAGCCAAGGAGTTCAAGACCAACCTGGGCCCAAAGCAAGACCCTGCCTCAAGAAAACAAAAAAACAAGACCAAGAAATGACACAGGATGGGAGGAAATAAAGGAGACCGAACATCCACATCGGGGGTCAGAGGCACCGCGGCTGGGTCTGCGGGGCAGTCGCGGAAACTGTGTCCTGGGGGTCGGAGGCACCCGTGGCTGGGTCTGTGGACACTGTGGCCTGGACCAGCAGACCATGTACACCACAGTCAGCCTTCGAGGTGCTTGTAGGAAGGCATAAAGGAACACTCTGACTACTGTGCCGATGCTTCTGTAAGTCTAAAATTACCTCACAATCAAAGGTGAAAAAGTCCCACTCAGCCGAGTACAATCCAAACTTGACTGTGCATGTGCCGGCTAACACACAACCCCAAGCAGGAAGCCACGGGCAATAAAGAACACGGCAAGTGAATGGCTGTCCTGGAGCCAGAACACGTGGGGAAAAACGTCTCCCTCATCTACAACACCTAAAATGCAACTCAAATTCTGATTAAAATTAAAAAGAAATCTTACAAAGCAGAGACTTGAAAAGATGCTTGTACCCCTGTAAACACAGCCTGATTCACAACAGCCCACATGTCCACGGATGGGCGAATAAACAGACGCGGCCCTACACACAGTTCAGTACGGTTCAGCCTCAAAGAGAAAGGAAATCCTGACCCGCGCCCAGCATGGAGGGCCCCGAAGACGCTCTGCTCCGTGAAAGAAGATGAGTAGCAAAGGACAAACACTGTGGGTCTCTGGCTCTATAAGGTCCTAGAAGAGTCGAACTCAGAGACAGACAGACACAGGCTGCAAGAGGCTGGGGTTGGAGAATGGGGAGGGCTCAGAGGGGACAAAGTTCTGGAGGTGGATGGTGGTGACGGTGCTCAACGGTGGGAAGGTACTCAACGCCGTTAAACTTCAGAAGGACCCACACGGCCAGTTTACGTAAAACTTCAGGATGATCCACACGGCCAGTTTACGTAAAACTTCAGAATGATCCACACGGCCAGTTTACGTAAAACTCCAGAAGGATCCACATGGCCAGTTTACGATAAACTTCAGAATGACCCACACGGCCAGTTTACGTAAAACTTCAGGATGATCCACACGGCCAGTTTACGTAAAACTCCAGAAGGATCCACATGGCCAGTTTACGATAAACTTCAGAATGACCCACACGGCCAGTTTACGTAAAACTTCAGGATGATCCACACGGCCAGTTTACGTAAAACTCCAGAAGGATCCACATGGCCAGTTTACGATAAACTTCAGAATGACCCACACGGCCAGTTTACGTAAAACTTCAGGATGATCCACACGGCCAGTTTACGTAAAACTTCAGAATGATCCATCCACACGGCCAGTTTACGTTAAACTTCAGAATGATCCACACGGCCAGTTTACGATAAACTTCAGGATGATCCACACGGCCAGTTTACGATAAACTTCAGAATGACCCACACGGCCAGTTTACGTAAAACTTCAGAAGGATCCACACGGCCAGTTTACGTAAAACTTCAGAAGGATCCACACGGCCAGTTTACGTAAAACTTCAGGATGATCCACACGGCCAGTTTATGATAAACTCCAGAATGATCCACACGGCCAGTTTACGTAAAACTTCAGAATGATCCACACGGCCAGTTTACGTAAAACTCCAGAATGATCCACACGGCCAGTTTACGATAAACTTCAGGATGACCCACACGGCCAGTTTACGTAAAACTTCAGGATGATCCACACGGCCAGTTTACGATAAACTTCAGAATGATCCACACGGCCAGTTTACGATAAACTTCAGAATGACCCACACGGCCAGTTTACGTAAAACTTCAGGATGATCCACACGGCCAGTTTACGTAAAACTTCAGAATGACCCACACGGCCAGTTTACGATAAACTTCAGGATGATCCACACGGCCAGTTTACGATAAACTCCAGGATGATCCACACGGCCAGTTTACGATAAACTTCAGAATGATCCACACGGCCAGTTTACGATAAACTTCAGAATGACCCACACGGCCAGTTTACGTAAAACTCCAGAATGATCCACACGGCCAGTTTACGTAAAACTTCAGAAGGATCCACACGGCCAGTTTACGTAAAACTTCAGAAGGATCCACACGGCCAGTTTACGATAAACTTCAGAATGACCCACACGGCCAGTTTACGTAAAACTCCAGAATGATCCACACGGCCAGTTTACGTAAAACTTCAGAAGGATCCACACGGCCAGTTTACGTAAAACTTCAGAAGGATCCACACGGCCAGTTTACGATAAACTTCAGAATGACCCACACGGCCAGTTTACGTAAAACTTCAGAGGATCCACACGGCCAGTTTACGATAAACTTCAGAATGACCCACACGGCCAGTTTACGTAAAACTCCAGAATGATCCACACGGCCAGTTTACGTAAAACTTCAGAAGGATCCACACGGCCAGTTTACGTAAAACTTCAGAATGATCCACACGGCCAGTTTACGTAAAACTCCAGAATGATCCACACGGCCAGTTTACGTAAAACTTCAGAAGGATCCACACGGCCAGTTTACATAAAACTTCAGGATGATCCACACGGCCAGTTTACGATAAACTTCAGAATGATCCATCCACATGGCCAGTTTACGTTAATGTATTTTTAAAATTGTTTCTAGAGACAAGGTCGGGCTGCCTCACCCATGCTGCAGTGCAGTGGCAGCTCACAGGAAGCCCACGGCACAGCACAGCCCCTAACTTAGGCTCCAGCACTCCTTCTCCCTCAGCCTCCCCAACAGCCGCGAACACAGGCATGCACAGCAAGCCTGGCTACCTGGACATTTTGCTACAACAAAAGCCAGCCCCAAAAAATAACCCTGCAAAGTATCTCAGAAAAAAAAAACAATTCCATGTCACTTTTACTGGGTCAGCTCCATATAAAAGAAAAACATTGTCAAAGCCGGACCAGAAGCCATCTTCAAGGAGTCACACAAGAGGTGCCCGGCCGTGGCGCCCTAACCAGTGTCACACCCTCCCCACGTGGCACAGAGACAGACATGGCCACACAATCAGACAGACTCACTTGAACCCGGAGGTGGAGGCTGCAGTGAGCTGATTGTGCCGCCATACTCCAGCCTGGCGACAGACTCAAAAAAAAACACAAACTACTAAATGAAAAATAAATTAAATAGGGCTGGGCACAGTGGCTGTAATCCCCGCACTACAGGGTGGGTGAAACCCGTCTCTACTAAAATACAAAAAACGAGCCAGGCATTGGGATGGGGGCCTGTAGTCCCAGCTACTCTGGAGGTGGAGGCAGGGGAATCGCCTGAACCCAGGAGGCAGTGGACACAGTGAGCTGAGATCGCACCACTGCACAGACCAAGATTCCAGCTCAAAAAACAAACATTAGCTGGGCATAGTGGCAGGCACCTGTAATCCCAGCTACTTGGGAGGCTGAGGCAGGAGAATAGCTTGAACCCAGGATTCAGAGGTTGCAGTGAGCCAAAATCGCACCACTGCACTCCAGCCTGAGTGACACAGCAAGACTGTAATTAAAAAAAAAAAAAAAAAATTACATCTGACAAACCACTTATAATCCTAGTTTTCTTTTATACTATTGCCTTGACCTTGCTTTTTAAAAATTAAAATCTGTGTTTCTTTTTTCTTTTTTGAGATGGGGTCTCCCTCTGTCACCCAGGCTGGAGTGCAATGGTGTGATCTCAGCCCACTGTAAACTCCACCTCCTGGGTTCAAGCAATTCTCTTGCCTCAGCCTCCTGGGTAGCTGGGACTACAGGCATGTGTCACCACTGCCAGCTGATTTTTGTATTTTTGGTAGAGACAAGGTTTCACCAAATTGCCAGGCTGGTCATGAACTCCTGACATCAGGTGATTCACCAGCCTCAGACTCCCAAGGTGCTGGGATTAAAGGCGTGAGCCACCGCAGCTGTGTTTGCTGAGCACAGCACAATGATGACAGTTTTTCCACCGACTGCTCTCCAGTTACGAATTGCTGATAGTGTGTGCTCTCATATCATCTCCACCTGCAGCATGCAGGGGCACAGGGGCAGCAGACACCAGGGACTCAGGACAAACCACGTCTCATAAGCACTAGTTTAAGACGCTGGAACAATAAATGTAAACAGCTTCATCTACCCAGAAAATGAGTGTCCTGAGAACATCAGAAGCCTCTGATGGTGCAATGGGGGCGCGGGGCGCACAGGCACTGACCATCCATTTCCACAAGAAGCTGGTTTAGCGTCTGCTCCTCCTCGGTGTTGGAGAAGCCGGACATGGTGGTGGAGCGCTTCTTGCCCACCGCGTCGATCTCGTCGATGTAGACGATGCAGGGAGCCCGGGCTCGGGCTTCCTTGAAGAGGCTCCGCACACGGGCAGCACCAAGGCCTGAGGGGACAGAGAGAACCAGGAAATGGGCAGATGAAAGACAGAGCCTCTTCCTGTGCCTGGGCCAGACAAAGGTGTCCCCCAAAGATGAATCAACCTACCAGCCTCAGCCCTCCAAAGAGACACACAGCAGCTGCTCCCGGGGGCCCCTGGCAGCCCCTCAAGGCTCACACACACCGTACTGGCTCACAGGCCCAAGTGAGAGCAGTTTCAAAGTAGACATCATGTGCGCCGCAGACACCTCCTCTAAGCCAAGCCTCGCTTTCCCTCTCTCCTCCCCGCCCACCTGCTTCCCCTTCAGTCTAGCTGCCTGAGGAAGGATGTGTGAAAGGAGCCATCCACAGCCCCCAACCACAACACCTACCTCCAATGACCTCCACGAACTCCGGGCCGGCCATTGCCAAGAATGGCACCTGGGCCTCTGTGGCTACCGCCTTGGCCAGCAGGGTCTTCCCACAGCCAGGGGGGCCGAGCAGCAGCGCACCCTTCGGGACCTTGGCGCCAAGCTGGAGGAAGCGCTCCGGGCTCTGGATGGCAGTAGACAATGTGACACTGGCGACTTGCGGTTTCAGGTTTTTTTTTAAAGGTAACGTCTTGCTGCATCACCCAGGCTGGAATGCAGTGGCTGCCATGATAGCTCACTGCAGCCTCAAACTCCTGGGCTCCAGCCCCCTTCTCACCTCAGCCTCTCCAGCAGCTGAGACCATACAGGCATGTGCCACCACGCCTGGCGACTTTTAAACATTGTTTGCAGATAGGGTTTCACTGTTGCCCAGGCTTATCTCCTACTACTGGGCTCAAGCAATCCCCCTGCCTCAGCCTCCCGAGGTGCTAGGACTACAGGCATGATCCACCACACCACGCCCTCAGAGAGAATGTTGAAGTGGCGCAAATGAAAGGCAGGTCATGCACTGCCACGAACTCCGTATGGGGTTTACGTGGTTCTGGGAAAAGCACAGAGCTCTGCCAGGAATCCAGGATGGCTAATGGCATAGCAGGCGTGGGCCTCAGCACCCTCCCCTTGGCTGAACCCTGTGCATGGAGCTTGCGCTGCTGCTTGAACAGGCACCATGGGACAGGTGAGAGGCCACCACCAACCCACAACATATCATCGATGGAATTCCGGGTCCCAAGGCTCTGATCCCCACAAAACGCCTTCTGGGAGAGCAGGCAGGTCATCTGTCTGCTCACGTCTCCCTCCTGGTCAGCGCTGGCTCTCACCTTCAGATAATCCACAAACTCTCGCACTTCCAGCTTGGCTTCGTGCATTCCTGCCACGTCTTTGAAGCTGACCCCTTTCCCCATCTTCCCATCCACAATCGTGAAACGAGCCATTTTAAGCTGATTCTGTGCAGAAAGAAGGAAGTACAAGGAGCTGTGCAAAGCTAGGAAATCAGCAACACAATGCAGGAGGCTCAGCCCACGCACCTGAGCTGCTCCAAGCCCCCGCCCCACGTCTCCATCCCAGGAACCCTTTGGCTCCCCTTGAGTCAGACTGACAGGGCACATGGGTCGGTCTTCAGGCATACAAGGAAAACTTGTTTGACGTCATTAATTACTAAGAGACTTGACTAGCTACTGACCTTAAAGACCATTATCCCCAGCCGGGCACAGTGGCTCCCAGCACTTTGGGAGGCTAAGGAGGGCAGATCATCTGAGGCCAGGAGTTTGGGACCAGCCTGGCCAACATGATGAAACCACATCTCCACTAAAACTACAAAAACTGTGAGCCACAGTGCCCGGTCTAAGGTTGTTCTTTTAAAGACAACCTTTTAAATTCCTCAGTTTCTTAGCTAGTAGGAAACAAAGAGGAACAAAGTCTTTGCCAGCTGATCATTGAAAAATGTGCATTCGGCCAGGCTGGTGGCTCACACCTGTAATCCCAGCGCTTTGGGAGGCTGAGGTGAGCGGATCACCTGAGCCCAGGATTTCGAGACCAGCCAGGCCAACATGGGAAAACCCTGTTTCTTTTTTTTTTGGAGACGGAGTCTGCTGTGTCTCAGGCTGGAGTGCAGTGGCACAATGTCAGCTCACTGCAACCTCTGCCTCCCTAGGCAAAACCCTGTTTCTACAAATACAATGATTAGCCAGGCATGGTGGTCCACACCTGTAGTCCCAACTACTCAGGAGACTGAGGCAGGAGGACTGCTCCAACACAGGAGGCGGAGGTTACAGTGAGCAGAGATCATGCCACTGCACTCCAGCCTAGGCAATAAAGCAAGACTTTGTTTAAAAAAGAAAAGAAAAGAAAAATCCAGATTCAGCAGCCTTGTAAAACTCACCTGGCTCAGGCACCACAGTGAGTGAGAGGCCCTCAGGCAATGCTGGTCACTAGACGCCTTGCAGCCAGCCTGGGAAACAAAGCCATGGGAATTTGGCTTCCACCAAATGATGGCTTTAGGCTGCTCTCTGCCACGGTTTTCACTCTATTATTTACCTATCCTACAGCTTATGGGAAAAGTATTCAGCAAACACAAACAGAAAAATCCTGAGACTAAGTTCAGAGAGCTCTAATTTATAGAACTTACAAAAGCACTGAATCCACCTTCCCTTCCGGTCATTCCGGCCAGGCGGAAAGCGTACCACAGGATGGCCAGACCCACCGCTGTCATCCCCAGGGCGTACAGGGCACTACCATAAGAAAAAGAGGCAGGGGCAGGGTCAGATGGCGTCATGAGACAGACACACATTTCTAAGTCAGAACCACCAGCAGCAAGGTTTCGAAAACTAGAGGAGTAATCCCTGCACCTGGGACTGATGCACAGATGCAGATGATGTGAAAATGGGTTCTCTCATTTCATTCTTGCCATGCTCTTTCATGAAGGCTTCCCAAACAGTCAGACTGAGTGTGCAAAGGCTGGAAATACCTAGTGATCTGGCCAGCCTTGTGACAATAACAGTCAGGGTTTTTTATTTTCAGTATATTTTGTTTTCAAAAGTAGGCAATCAGTTTCAATCAGCAAGGCAAGATCAGTCTAGCAGTAAAAAGCAAATCCCAGGCCGGGAACAGTGGCTCACGCCTGTAATCCCAGCACTTTGGGAGGCTGAGACGGGTGGATCACAAGGCCAGGAGTTCAAGACCATCCTGGCCAACACGGTGAAACCTTATCTCTATTAAAGAAAATACAAATATTAGCAAGGCATGGTGGTGTGCACCTGCAATCCCAGCTATTCCGGAGGCTGAGGCAGGAGAATTCCTTGAACCCAGGAGGCGGAGGTTGCAGTGAGCCAAGATCATGGCACTGTAGTGCAGCCTGGGTGACACAATGAGACTCCATCTCAAAAAAAGAAAAAAAAAAAAAAAGAAATTCCGTCTCTACTAAAAATACAAAAAAAACTTAGCTGGACATGGTGGCATGCGCCTGTAGTCCCAGCTGCTCAGGAGGCTGAAGTGGGAGAATCACCTGATCACGGGAGGCTGAGGGTGCAGTGAGCCGAGACTGTGCACTGCACACCAGCCTGAGCGACAGAGTGAAACCCTGTCTCAAATCCCAGGACTTTAGCCCTCATCCTGAAGGAGGGGCCGCCCTGACCCTCCATCTTCTCTGCATCATCGACCTACAAAGACACGAGAAGCACAGCCTCAGAGCACTCATCTTCCTGGAGTTGCTGGGTTGTAGAATCAGAGGTGCATCTTTTTTTTTTTTTTGTAGAGATGGGGGTTCTCCAAGCTGCCCAGCTGGTCTAGAACTCATGGGGTCAAGAGATCCTCCTGCCTCGGCCTCCCAAAGTGCTGGGATTACAGGCATAGCCACTGCACACAGCTAGAGGTGCATTTTAATCAAAGGACTACTTGCCAGTCACTGGCATCCTACATCTTCAGAGACTACAAGGGAATAAACCTCTCTGGTTTCAGTATCTGTTGGCCCCTCATTTGCTCCTAGGAAGGACCCTGTGTTGGGGCCCATGGCCCATAAATGCCTACAGCTCCCACCAGGTCTGCTTCTCCCTCTACACTCAAGTGAGAACTTCACACTCTGGTTTCCACCCTTCTGTAGAAGAGCAAGCGCAGGGCAGGATCAAAGTTTGTCTACTGCTGGGCTCATCCTGCCTTGCCAACTGAAACTGATCGCTTACTTCTGAAAACAAAACACAATGAACTAGAAAACCTGGATGTCGTTATTGCCCAAGACTGGCTAGGTCACTGGGTATCTCCAGCATTTGCACCCTTCATCTGACCGTTTGGGACGCCCTCAGGAGACAACATAATCAGCAAAAATTAAACAAGAATGTGAGTTCAGACACGCCAGACAACCGAAGAAAGCGACGAGACAAACTCCAACAGACTCGCGAACCGCCGGCCTCCGTATCCACAGCTCCACCTCTGCATGTTCCATCAAGCACAGACTGAAAAATCGCACCTGGACTGAACGTGCGCAGAAACTTCTTGTCATTATTCCCTGAACAAGAAAGTACAACTACCACCAAAACATTATTTACAGGGTACTGAGTATTACAGCAATCCAGAGATGGCTGAAAGCGCATCAGAGAACGTTCCTAGGTTACATGCAAATACTTTGGCATTTTACATCAGGGACTTAGGCATCTGCAGATGTCGGTATCCTCGGGAGGTCCTGGAACCAATCCCCCACCGATACGCAGGTACCCAGGGTTGACTATCTTTGCAAATTTCCTGGCATTGTATCATTCACGTCTATGTTTATTTAACCCTCCCACAAGAGCTCAGTGAACTACGGGCAAAGATAGTTTGAGATTTTTGCCTGCGATGTTTCTCACAGCACAAAGCCAAGCTGGGTTTAACGATGTCCAACATACTTTCCAAAGAATCCCGTTCGCTTGTAGGTAACCGGAATCCTATCCTTGCCCTCGATGTTCAGCTCATCTTCAGCTGCTCGAAGCTTCTCTTCAAACCTGTCGATATTTGCAACCTGCATTCGGTACATCAAGGCTAGCCGCTGGGGGCAGAAGGAGAGGGGACTGTGAGAAAGATGCAGGGACAGACTGGCAACCCACAGTCAACAGAAAAGCTGCAGGGAACCCACGGCACAGACAACCTCCGCGCTGTGAAGAGGATGACTGTCAGAAACTAGAGATGACTCCAGACCGGGCACGGTGGCTCACACCTGTCATCCCAGCACCCTGGGAGGCCGAGGCGGGCAGATCACCTGGGGTCGGGAGTTCGAGGCCAGGCTGACCAACACGGAGAAACCCGTCTCCACTAAAAATACAAAATTAGCCAGGCTTGGTGGCGCATGCCTGTGATCCCAGCTCCTCAGGAGGTAGGATCTTCCCACTTCACAACAATATGAATGCAACATGCACACCAAGCTCCTTGAGTTAACGACGGGGCTACCTCCCAACAGGCCCCTGGGAAGCTGAAAAGATCTTCATTCAAGGAGCACGTGTACTTCCAAGTCTAACACTTGTAGTTTCTTCAACCACAATTTGAGAAATAAAATTTCAACAGATAGACTTTCTGATCTATATTCCACTCACAGGAAAACTGTAAGAAGTGGAGGGGTGTCCGCATGCCAGCTCACAGCCCCACCTCTGCCACAGCCCCACCTCCGCCAGGGGCCTGCAGATACAAGGGAGCCTCCCCCACAGAGGCTGGTGTGGCTGCAGGAGGGGACTGAGGAAAGCGGTCAAGATGACAGCCAAAACCAGATGTTTTAGGAAACTGCAGCCACAGAGGGTTCGTGCTTGCCCACAAAACCCAAGACTGTTCAGCCCTCACACCAGGACACGGTGGGTCTGCCTCCCTGGCCTGTCATTCTCCAAAAGCAGTGTTTTCCTAAGTGGGCTCCACACATTTAGCTCAGATTGCAGCATGACTGGACGGCACCAGCCCAAAGAGTGGACAAGACGGACCTGCAGGGCTCTCTGAGGTTCACTGGAAACTCCAGCAGAGGACAGGGATGGGGGGGGGGTGGCACCTACTGCTCCCTGACTTACACCCCAAACTGCTAGGACGGCATTCTGAGCATTTTCTTCATAAGGTAGTTGTTTTATCAAACCTGAAAACAACCTTCCAGGCTGAAATGAGCAGGTGTCCCTCAGAGAATTCACGTGAATGAACGCCACCCTCCACACTAAGCCATGGGGTTCATTTGGGTTTCCGGTTTTTAAAAATATCGAGACAGAGCCCAGGAGATCAAGGACACAGTGAGCCAAGATCACACACCACTGCACCTCAGCCGGAGTGACAAAGTGAGACTCTGTCTCAAATAAGAGAGAAAAAGAAAAGGAGAGGGGCTCGGGAAAAAAAAGAAAGAAAAAGAAAAGGAAAAAGCATGCTGAGTCCTGAGCAACCCAGCGAAGGGGCAGAAGCTCTGGTGGAGGCCCCGGTCATTTCCCCTGGTCCAGGCCACACCAACCCCAGACCACTTTTCCTAATCACTGGTCCACACATTACCCAGGGTTAAACTGCTCCAAACACAGGTTCTGACACACTCTTGGAATCTAAAGACCTGGCTGGGAGCGGTGGCTCACAGCTGTAATCCCAGCACTTTGGGAGGCTGAGGTGGGTAGACCACCTGAGGTCAGGAGCTCGAGACCAGCCTGGCCAACCTGGAGAAAACCCATCTCTACTAAAAATACAAAAATTGGTTGGGTGTGGTGGCAGGCACCTGTCATCCCAGCTACTCGGGAGGCTGAGGCAGGAGAACCACTTGAACGTGGGAGAAAGACACTGCAGGGAGCCAAGATCACATTATTGCACTCCAGCCTGAGTGACAGAGTGAGACTCCACCTCAAAAAAAAAAAAAAAAGACAACCAAATAAATGCAAATAAATGGGTTGAGGGCCCTGTATGAGAAAGCAGCACACCCTAAACTCCAGGTATCCAAAAGGATGGCAACAGCCTGCGCCCACACCCTCACTCACAGGGCGCCCAAACACCACCGCTCCAGGGTGCAGGTAGACTTCCACCACGTCGCTCTCAGGCACCACCTGGACGCGCTGCACCTCGCCCTTCGCCAGCATCTCGTGGACAAAGTCGTTCCAGGAAATGCTGCCCCCGCTGGTGCTGAGGGCGTTCAGGAGGCTCATGATAACCGCGATGACCAGCAAGGTACGAAGCCGCTCTCGGTACATCTGGTCCTCTCGCTCCCGGCGTCTCCTGTCCTCTGAGCCAGCAGAGAAGCAAGAAAGAGAACCAAACGCATGAGCATGACATGGGTGACATCCAAAGCTTCTTGAGGAAAGCTCCGCTGAACTGGGAGGGGCAGCGTCCTGTACGGAAGATCCTTCATTTGCGCTGATTTTTCCCTAGAGATATTGGAGACAAAGACAACGGGAAGCTGTCCCAGATCACCGACACGTCATTCGCCAAGGTCACTTCAGCAAGGAGCAGGAGTGGTTCCCACCTTAGATAAAAGGAAACCATTTCTTTTTCTTTTTTCTTTTGTGCAGGGTGACAAGAAACCAAGTCACCCCTGCACAGCCGGCATCTATAGCAAACCACTCCACGTGCAGCTCCCCCAAGACAGGCCCACACCTGTTAACTAAACCAAAGCTTCTATTGGTTACCAGCTCTCCTAGCTGTCTGTGTCCAAAGAACTCCACCTCATTACACACACCTGGTCAGAGCAGGCGCCAAGACCCAGACACAGGCAGGGCCCAGACAAACACAAAGGTCGGTCGGTCCAAGGGCCAAACCCTGAGGCAGGGTTTGGTCTCACCATCTCCAGAACACCTGTGCCTGCGGACACACCACCAGGGACCCAGCAGCAGTAACAACGCCATCTACAGAACACCTGCGCCTGAGGACACACCACCAGGGACCCAGCAGCAGTAACAACGCCATCTACAGAACACCTGCGCCTGAGGACACACAACCACGGACCCAGCAGAGGGGACAATGCCATCTCCAGCACACCTGTGCCTGTGGACATACTGCCAGGGACCCAGCAGCGGGAACAAGAGGTGCATGTGTGCTTGAGATTCACAGCTCCACTCCTCCCGCACTGTCTGGGGGCTTCATGCTGGCAGCACAGCCAGGCCAGTGCATATCCCATGTACCACCTTCCTTTCCTACAATCAGTTTAGAGGAATTCAAGCAATATTCAAATTAATTTAAAAATACAAAATGAGGCCGGGCACAGTGACTCATGCCTGTAATCCCAGCACTTTGGGAGGCCAAGGCGGGCAGATCATGAGGTCAGAAGATCGAGACCATCCCGACCCTGGTGAAAACCAACCTCTACCAAAATACAAAAAAAAATTTTTTTTTTTTTTTGAGACAGAGTTTCGCTCTTGTTACCCAGGCTGGAGTGCAATGGCACGGTCTCGGCTCACTGCAACCTCCGCCTCCTGGGTTCAGGCAATTCTCCTGCCTCAGCCTCCTGAGTAGCTGGGATTACAGGCACACGCCACCATGCCCAGCTAATTTTTTATATTTTTAGTAGAGACGGGATTTCACCATGTTGACCAGGATGGTCTCGATCCCTTGACCTCGATATTCACCCGCCTTGGCCTCCCAAAGTTCTGGGATTACAGGCGTGAGCCACCGCGCCTGGCCAATACAAAAAATTATCTGGGCGTGGTGGCGCGCACCTGTAGTCCCAGCTACTCAGGAGGCTGAGGCAGGGGAATCACTTGAATCTGGGAGACGGAGGTTGCAGTGAGCCAAGATCATGTAACTGCACTCCAGCCTGGCGCCTTGCGAAACTGTCTCAAAAACCCAAAAAATCCCAAAATGAAACCTACTGAAAAGGTCTGTCAAAATAATTGCTTTGAAAATATGAAGGTACATTTTAGATGTCACTGTGTCTTGCTGTAACAGATTCTAAAAGTGTACTTAAAGCTCATATTCATAAAGACAATTGTATAAATCCTACCACTTATTTTAGAGAGCAAATTTATGTTCTCAGTCGAGTATCTAATTACTACTTCCAATATTTAACTACCAACTGAGAAATAAGTTCCCAAAAGCTACTCTAGCTGCCCCAGAGGGAGGATCCAGAACCACGGCCAACGCTTCTCCTTCAGAAGCTCTGTGACCATATCAACAGTGTCCCATTTTCTCTTTGTTGTCATAGATCTGGCTCTGTCACCCAGACTGGAGTGCAGTAGTGCAATCAAGGTTCACTGCAGCCTCGACCTCCTAGGTTCAAGTGATCCTCCCACCTCAGCCTCCTGAGTAGCTGGGAATACAGATGCACCCCATTGTGCCCTGCTAACTTTTTAAATTTAGTAGAACATGAGGTCTCACTATGTTGCCCAAGCTGGTCTCAAACGACTGAGCTCAGATGATCCTCCCACCTCAGCCTCCCAAAGTGCTGGGATTACAGGCGTTAGCCACTGCGCCTGACCAAAGAATTTCTAATAAAAGTAAAATGACGGCTTGGATTTTGTCTCCAATATCGTCACTAACATGTAACCCTTCTCCAGCAAGGGGCAGCCAGGCATGTTAATTCATAGGCTGTGTGACACAGGCGGGCGCTTCGTCTCACTGCGTCAGGGAGCAGGATCTGCCCAACACGGTGCTGAGGCCACACAGCCCTTGGGAGAGTCTAACCCCATCATGCCACCTTCTTCTGAAGCTCCTGAGGCTAAAACAGTTTTAGCCGTTCAGTGAGTCTTCTCCGGCCTCCGGGGCCTCCTCAGTGGCAGGAAGGAGGCCAACAGAGCACCCAGGACACAGGACCACAGAGAGGCCTCTTCCAGCAATGAGTCAAGGCACTGTGGGAGAAATCACTGTGCTCCGTGAGCACACGCAGGTGGATGACCTAGCAAACCAGGCCAAGGAGGGTCTTCAAACAGGCCTTGCACACGTTCTGCGGTTCTGAGCTGGTGCAGACCAGTACAGCCCTGTCTGAGAACTGCGTGGCAGGTGGGATCAAGGCCGTAAATAGGACCTACCTCTGAAACTTTCACCTAAGGAAATGAACCTTAAGAAATTCTGGCCAGGTGCAATGGCTCACGCTTGTCATCCCAGCACTCTGAGAGGCTGAGGCAGGTGCATCACCTGAGGTCAGGAGTTTCAGACCAGCCTGGCCAACGTGGTGAAACCTTGTTCCTACTAAAAATAAAAAAAATTAGCCAGACATGGTGGCATGCATCTGTAATCCCAGTTACTTGAGAGGCTGAGGCAGGAGAATTGCTTGAACCTGGGAGGCGGAGGCTGCAATGAGCTGAGATTGCACCTCTGCACTCCAGCCTGGGTGACAGAGGGAGATTCTGTCTCAAAACAGAAAAACAGAGGCCGGGCACGGTGGCTCACGCCTGTAATCCCAGCACTTTGGGAGGCCGAGGCGGGTGGATCACAAGGTCAAGAGATCCAGACCATCCTGGTCAACATGGTGAAACCCCATCTCTACTAAAAATACAAAAAATTAGCTGGTCATGGTGGCGCGTGCCTGTAATCCCAGGAGGCTGAGGCAGGAGAATTGCCTGAAGCCAGGAGGCGGAGGTTGCAGTGAGCCGAGATCGCACCATTGCACTCCAGCCTGGGTAACAAGAGCGAAACTCCATCTCAAAAAAACAAACAAACAAACAAACAGAAAAACAAAACAAAACAAACAAAAAACACCCTCGGTATAAAAGGCACTTCCTCTGCCTGGAAGACCCTCCACCTCCTTCCCATTAAGTCCTTAACTTGTCCAGCCCAAGCCTCCAGAGCGTCCTTCCATGGAGGTGCCCAACGTGCCTCTTAAACACCACGCCTTCAGCGTTGTGGCCATTTGTGCCTGCGCACCCAGTGCTGCCTCCAGGATGGTGCCTCAGGACACTCTGATGAGCCGAAAGCTCACAGGGAGCTGGGGGTGCAGCCTGAGTTCCTGCTGCCTGTGCTGAGGCAGCGTGCCATGGCACGCAGGAAATGCACTTGCCTCCTGAGCCTCACTGCACAGCCGTGGACAGTAGTCTACGGGACCACTGGCAAGTTTTGTTGCCAAAATTCTTCTTCCAGGAAAAAAAAAGTCAATCATTGACAATCATATATTATGATCAGTAACTCACCTAAGTCATCTAAAAATGGCTGATGCCACTGAGTCTCAAGGAAGCAGCCACAGAGACCACACCAGGCTTATCACACTTGGAAACCGCCCCTGCAGACAGCAGCCCCGAGTGCCACAGCTGAACCCGACAGACGAGAGGCATGGTGGGGCAGGAGCTCCATGAGCAGTCATACCTCACAGGGCAGGGTCTTCTCCACAAGAAGCTGTGTGAAAATGTGACCAGTTGCTTTGTTTCTGGTTAAGTTTCTGACTGTGAAGTCACTGTAGCTTCACATGCAGTTGTAAGAAAGGGGACAGAGCAATGCCTTGTCCACCTGCTTCCAGTCATCACATCTCGAAAACGATGACCAGATCCCAGCCGGGCTTCCCCACCACAACAGTTCTCCAAGCTCCTGGGCCACCTCGTGACACACGCACAGTGCGTGCTCATGTACCCACAGCAGCCAAGGCGGGCAACAGCCCAACCACAGGATCCCTCGGCATCTCCCTCCCCATCCTGGCCCCTAGCAATCACAAATCTCTGGTCCATCTCTGTAACTTTTGCCTTCAGAGAATGCTCTATAGAAAACTGAAAACCATACGGAATGGGATCTTTTGGGCCTGCCTTTTTCACTTGACATAAATCCTTCCAGCTTCCCCCGAGTTAGCAGTGAGTGGTATAAGAGATGCTGCATCTGACCCTGAGATTCCAACCAACTACTTTTTGGGCAACCACTACTTACAATTATCGTGTGCAGCTGGCAAAGCTGTTTCTAAGCCACGTTCAGTACTGCTCTTTCATTTAGGGAGGAGCCAAAGAATCTTCACGTACACAGACACGATGAGGTCCAGCATCCGACCATGAAGGAGGCCTGTCTGAGGGCCAGGACTGTGCTGTGCGTGTCTGATGGAGCCAGCGGTCCCGAAAACCCACACAAACCAACCCCCCTCAACCACAGCAGAAGGCCCAGGGTAAACCCAAGGTAGGTTCTCAAAAGAAAGATTCTTTGGCTCAGTAAATAATGATCCTCTAATGCAAATTTAACAGACATTATTTTCTCAAAGCAAACTACAATTCAACCCAAAACTGAATAAATGTAAGCCACTCAGAGGCAGAAGAGACACACAAGTCAGCCACTTGCAGCCTCTCCCATAAGCATGGAGGAGAGCAAAGGGCATGATGACTCCTGCACGCATGCCAAGGCACCTGCCAGTGAAGCTGCAGCCACGATTTCCCTGGAGAAGCACCTAACAGCACGCCAAGAGTGATCACCAGGAGGCTCCGTGCCATTCCTTCCAGGAATCAGTTATCAGTGCAGCCAAGCAAGTCCCTGAGTAACCATAACACAACACACAAGGCTGAATGCAAAATCAGCCCAGGCCACAAAATCCTTCCCTCTTCTGACAGGTGATCTTTGAGCAACATGGGAGTGAGTTACACACGTTCACTTACACGTGCATTTTCTTCCACCCGTTACCCCTGAGACAAGGAGACCAGCCCCTCAGCCTCCTCCTCAGCCCACTCAAAGTGAAGGCCCTGAGAATGAAGACCTTTATGCTGAGGGGCCTTAATAAATAGGGAATTAGGCCAGGTGCGGTGGCTCTCGCCTGTAATCCCAGCACTTTGGGAGGCCAAGGTGGGTGGATCACCTGAGGTCAGGAGTTTGAGACCAGCCTGGCCAACATGGAGAAACCCCATCTCTTTAAAATAAAATAAATAGGGAATAGCCAGGCACAGTGGTTCATGCCCATAATCCCAGCACTTCTGGAGGCTGAGGCAAATGGATCACAAGGCCAGGAGTTCAAGACCAGCCTGGCCAACATGGTGAAACCCTGTGTCTACTAAAAATACAAAAATTAGCCAGGCATGGTGGCAGGCACCTGTAATCCAAGGTCCTTGGGAAGCTGAAGCAGGAGAATCACTTGAACCTGGGAGTTGGAGGCTGCAGTGAGCCAAGATAATGCCACTGCACTCCACCGTGGACAGTGAAACTCCATCTCAAAAAATAAATAAATATGGCCGGGTGCAGTGGCTGACACCTGTAATCCCAGGACTACGAAAGGCCCAGGGAGGCAGATCACCTGAGGTTGCAAGTTCGAGACCAGCCTGACCAACATGGAAAAGCCCCGTCTTTACTAAAAATACAAAATCACCCAGGCACGGTGGCACATGCCTGTAATCCCAGCTACTTAGGAGGCTGAGACAGGAGAATTGCTTGAACCGGGAGGTGGAGATTGCAGTGAGCTGAGATCACACCACTGCACTCCAGCCTGGGAGACAGAGTGAAACTGTGGTGCAAAAAAAAAAAAAAGTCGAAGGACACACTCCAGTGAGATGCTGAAGAATACAAGAGTCCCGAAATCTGTTCAGAACAATTCCATATGAAGATTCAGAAGTCTTTTACAAGGTAGTTCTGAGTGGCTGTAGGCATTGACACTTACTGTAAAACCAACAGTGAAGCTGAGGATGAGCCTGAAGCCAGAAACATCTAAACGAATCCAACAAGAAACACTGGTGTCCTTTCCCGCAGTCACGACCTCCCCTTGAGAGCCTGCAGCGGGCGTCACAGCTCCTCTCACAGAGAGTAAAGGTGTCCCAAGCCTTGTGAATGCAGCCTCTTACCCAAAATCAAACAACCAGGACGGCACTCCTGAAACAAACTCCCGCTGAACTCCACATTCACAATAATACTCTGATCTTCCCAGGGCTGAACCCTGATTTCCACATCCCGAAAACCTTTCTGAAAAGCAACATGGGAAAAAAGTCCTCATGATAGCGCCCGACTCAGCTTCCAAGCCCACGGCCGCGTTCTAGAAAAACGGGCTCTAATGAGCAGCTGACTTTCGGTGAGAGGCCTCAAGGGTCCAGAAGCAAGGCACTTCTGAAGCTGACTTCCACCCTTGTGTCCTTTGGGGCAGTGATTCTAAGCAGGGCTGGCCGCTAGAGCCTTGGGATCACCCTCCTCCAGACTCTGCTTCCCCAGAAGCACAAGAGGCCCTGGACAGGGGGCCACTTCCTGAAGAGAGCACCCCACAGAAGACCCAGTGCAAAGCAGGTGTAGAAGGGTCTGGACGGAACCTCAGCTTCCTCATGTGCAGATAGGGGTAACAGCAACAGGGCTACTTTGAGAAGACAATGAGATGAGATGATGCATGGAATCACTTGCTGTGGCGCCAGGCAAACTCTAATCACTCGTAGTGGTTAGCATTTCCATTATTCTTATGATTAGCTACAGGCAACTAAAAGCAAACACCAGCTTTTCTCTTAGAGCTCTGGGCACTTATCAGTTCAGTTCGGACTTTTACCTGTGTAGCTCCCTCACCCCTGATATCATCAAGTGAGTCCTAATTCCAGAGCTGAAAGATTTAAGATTACAGAATGTAGGCCGGGTGCAGTGGCTCAAGCCTGTAATCCCAGCACTTTGGGAGGCAGAGGCGGGTGGATCACGAGGTCAAGAGATCGAGACCATCCTGGTCAACACGGTGAAACCCCATCTCTACTAAAAATACAAAAAAATAGCTGGACATGGTGGCGCGTGCCTGTAATCCCAGCTACTCGGGAGGCTGAGGCAGGAGAATTGCCTGAACCCAGGAGGCGGAGGTTGCGGTGAGCCGAGATCGCGCCATTGCACTCCAGCCTGGGTAACAAGAGCAAAACTCTGTCTCAAAAAAAAAAAAAAATTTACAGAATGTTCTTAGATCTCACAAGTTGTGAACTGGGGCAGAGACTCACTGGCATGTGGTGGTGGCTCTTACAGTGGACAAGAATCCATCCCAGTAACTGCCATCATGACCACACACACCATGATGAGAGAGGTGCCAGCCTCTCCTCCTCACACTCCTCCAGGGGCTGCTTCCCAAGCCCAGTGGCAGTGGCAACGTTAACCAGGTGTGTATGGGAGTGGGTTTAGCCAAGGAGTTCTGGTCCCTTCTACCACCCCTAGAACCAGATCTGAGCAGATCTGAGATTTCTGCTTTCTGTGCAGAGGTAGACATGACCTGCCATTAGATATTCCTGAACACAACACAGAGAGGCAGGTGCCCCGAGAGGCATTTCTAGAGGAAGAGGCACAAAGGACCCAGCAATTGTGTGTTTAGAGAAGCGGGGGCAAATGTGCAGAGTGCGAGGCAAGCCAGGTGTGCGGGCTCTCCCTACACGGCTTCTTTCTGAGACAGGGTCTTGCTCTGCTGCCCAGGCTGGAGAGCAGTGGTATGGCTATAGCTCATGAGCTAGGAGTCTACCTCACAATGCAGATTTCCAGTGAGAGGCCTCAAAGGTCCAAATAAAGCATTTCTGAAGCTGACTTCAACCCTTACATCCCTTGGGGCTGTCAATCTGAGGCTGAGCTTCCAACTGCCGGGCTCAAGTAATCCTCCCACCGGAGCCTCTTCAGTAGCTACGACTACAGGTGCACCTGGCCAATTTTTTTTTTCTTTTTCTTTCTGCATAGACAGGATCTTTTAAAACTTTTATTTTATTTTAATTTTTAGGGAGACAGGGTCTAGCTATATGGCCTGGGCTGATTCCAAACTCCTGGCCTCCACTGTTTCTTCCACCTGGGCCTCCCAAAGGGCTTTGATTACTGCTGTGAGCCACTGCACCCAGCCCACCTCCCCACTTTCAACACTGGCTTCACTTTGCCAAGAGGAGCACAGAGATGTGAAGACAGGCAGAGGCAGCCACCGACTGAAGAGCAGCCGACGAGCATACCTTCGTCCTCTTGAGGTGTCTTCCCCTCTGACTTCTTATTCTTCTGCTTCATCCTTGAGGTGCTAAAATAGTAAGTACCACCTGTAATCAATAGAGAAAGGATTTAACAGTTGAGGTTTGCAGCTACAGGGGAGATACACAGGAGAACAGTGTATTCGGAAATAACCAAGGCAAAACAGAAACCATCTGAAAAAGCCGACTTCTAGCCATTAGACTTAGAAATTTAAAATAAAGCATCACTTAGTCCTGTATCACTTAGTCCAGTAGGTACTAATTACAGAATAATAAACTATTTTAACTTAGGAAAGTAGTATCTTTGCTGTTTAAACTGGCTAACGTAAGTTGGGTGCCACACTTGTAATCCCAGCATTTTGGGAGGCTGAGGCAGGCGGGTCATGAGGTCAAGAGATGGAGACCATCCTGACCAACATGGTGAAACCCCGTCTCTACTAAAGATACAAAAATTAGCTGGGTGTGGTGGCTAGCTCCTGTAATCTCAGTTACTTGGGAGGCTGAGGCAGGGGAATCGCTTGAACCCGGGAGGCAGAGGTTGCAGTGAGTCAAGATCACGTCACTGCTCTCCAGCCTGGTGACAGAGCAAGACTCCGTCTCAAATAAATAAATATAATTTAAAAATTGGCTAATAAAAATAAAAGGGAATAAAAATAGTTGTGAACACAAATTTGGGAAAATATCAAGGGTGTTACAGCAGAATCCCCTTAACATACAACATTTCTTTAAATGAACTTAATCAAGCGGCTTACGCCTGTCATCCCAGCACTCTGAGAGGCTGAGGCACGTGGATCACCTCAGGTTGGCCACCTCAGCCCAGGCAACATTATTTTAGTAGAGAAACTCCATGTCTACTAAAATTACAGTAATTAGCCAGGTGAGCTGTAGTCCCAGCTACTTGGGACGCTAAGGCAGGAGAATCACTTGAACCCTGGAGGCAGAGGTTGAAGTGAGCTGAGATGGAGCCATTGCATTCCAACCAAGGGGACAGAGCGAGACTCAGTCTCAAAAAAAAAGAAAAAAAACGGCATAAGAGGCTTCCAGACAAGTGGCAATAGCAGCGGCCCAGCCACCACCACCAAGACAGGCTGGCATGACACTCCACACACAGGCTCTGTCTGGCCCAAAGTATGAACAAATCAGCATTTACAAATGGGGGAGGCCAGGTGTAACGGCCAATGCCTGTAATCCCAGCACTTCAGGAGGCCAAGGCAGGAGGATGACTTGAGCCCAGGAATTCAAGACCAGCTTGGGCAACATGGCAAAACCTTGTTTCTCAAAGAAAAAAAAGGCAAGGTGCAGCGGCTCACACCTGTAATCAATCACAGCACTCTGGGAGGCCCAGGAGAGTGGATCACAAGGTCAGTAGTTCAAGACCAGCCTGGCCAAAATGGTGAAACCCCATCTTTGCTAAAAATACAAAAATTAGCCTGGCGTGGTGGCACATGCCTATAATCCCAGCTACTCGGGAGGCTGAGGCAGGAGAACTGCTTGAACCAGGACCCGGGAGGCAGAGGTTGCAGTGAGCTGAGATCCTGCCACTGCATTCCAGCCTGGTCTACAGAGCAAGACTATCTCAAAAAAGAAAAAAGAGCAGCTGGATGTAGTATTACACACCTGAAGTCCCAGTTACTCAGGAGGCTGAAGTGGAAGGAGCACTTAGGCCCACGAGGTTGAGGCTGCAGTGAGGAGATTGCGCCTGGGCAGCAGGGTGAGACCCTATCTCAATAATAAAATATTAATAAAAATGGGGAAAGATTTTTCACAACCATGACCTGAAATGTAACTTTCTTCACAAACACAGGAACGGGTTCATCAATGAAATGACCCTGGTTGCCGCTTGCACGTAACCTCAGGGGTGAAGAGGGCTCAAGCGTGGGCTTCCTGTCTAACAGCCAAGGCACCAGTGGGCTGAAGCTAAACACCGACAGCAGATGGGCATGCTGGGGCTGGACGGCCCATCAGTGGGCACAGCACTCTCCCTACCCATGTGTTGGCACTAGGCTGCTGAATGTCAATTAGGAGCAGAAATGTTTTACTTTTTCCCTGTTCCAAGTGCATAAAGGGGAGAGTAAAATAAAGGAGTGAGGTGTCAGTCCTTCACGTTCTTTAACGTAGAGTCAAGAGAGACCAGAGAATGTCACAAGTTCTCATTAAATGATTTATTCAAAAGCAAATTATCTGCAGTGTGTTTTTAGTGACTGTCTGGATATAAAACATCTGATGACACTTTGTAGCGTGTACTAAACATTCTTGCAGCTGACTAAGGAAAAGCCTTTTTCAAGTCGCTGACACACACCAGAATTAAAAAAAAAAAGACAACTTGGGCCGGGCGCGGTAACTCACACCAGTAATCCTAGCACTTTGGGAGGCTGAGGTGGGTGGATCACATGATCAGGAGATTGAGACTATCCTGGCCAACATGGTGAACCCCGTCTCTACTAAAAATACAAAAATTAGCTGGGCACGATGGCATGTGCCTGCAGTTCCAGCTACTTGAGAGGCTGAGGCAAGAGAATTGCTTGAACCAGGGAGCTGGAGGTTGTAGTGAGCCGAGATCATACCACAGCACTCTAGCCTGGGCAGCAGAAGCAAAACTCCCTCTCAAAAAACAAAACAAAAAAAGACTGGCACGGTGGCTTATGCCTGTAATGGAATCCCAGCACTCTGTAAGGATGAGGAGGATGGATCATGAGGTCAAGAGTTCAAGACCAGCCTCCTCAAGATGGTGAAACCCCATCTCTACTAAAAATACAAAAATTAGCCAGGTGTGGTGGCAGGTACCTATAATCCCAGCTACTAGGGAGGCTGAGATAGAGTACTGCTTGAACCCAGGAGGCAGAGGTTGCAGTGAGCTAAGATCATGCCACTGCACTCCAGCCCGGGTGACATAGTGAGACTCTAACTCAAAGAAAAAAAAGACAACTAGGCCATGTGCAGTGGCTCATGCCTGCAATCTCAACACTGTGGAAGGACCAGACAGGCTGACTGCTTGAGTCCAGGAGTTCAAGACCAGCCTGGAAATTGTGGCAAAGCCCCATCAATACCAAAAAAAAAATGTAGCTAGGCGCCGTGGTGTGTGGCCGTAGGCTGGCCATTCAGAAGGCAGAGGTGGGAGGATCACTTAAGCTCAAGAGGCCGAGGCTCTGCAGCCAGGGGATTAGGAAGTACAGACCCCTTCGGGCCTAGACAACAAAGTAAAACCTTGTCTCTACAAAAAATTAAAAAATTAGCCGAGTGTGATGGCCTATGCCTTTAGTCCTAGCTACTCTGGAGGCAGAGGTGGGAGGATCACTGGAGCCCAGGAGTTCTAGGCTATAGTGAGCTCTGATCACACACCTGCACTGCACTCCCAGCTGTGCAACAGAGCCAAGTCCCGTCTCTGAAACACAACAAAAAAGAAAACAGTATCTGCCTTGTCACTTCTGTATTTTTTTTTGTTCAGAGACAGGGTCTCACTCTGTCACCCAGGCTGGAGTACAGTAGCAGCATCAGCCTTGAACTCCTAGGCTCAGGCCATCTTCCCGCCTCAGCCTCCCAAGTAGTGTAGTGGGATACAGGCCTGCAATGTCATGCTCAGCTGCTTCTTTCAACAGATACATACCTAAAAGGTGCCAGAGTCTGATCGGATTCTGAAGTAAATGTTGTTTCAATAAAAGTCCATTGATCCCTTCAAAGGTAGGGGTTAGCAGTCGCAACTGTAAGCTCTGAAAAAAAAAATCCCAATACCAGAGGTCACACCAACATAACAAAATACCAAAGCAACACAGACTAAAAATCTTTTTTTTTAAGAGATGGGGTTTCACCATGTTGGCCAGACTGGTCTCGAACTTCTGACCTCAGGTGATCCACCTGCCTCAGCCTCCCAAAGTGCTGGGATTAGTCATGAGCCACGGCGCCCAGCCTAAAAATCACTTTTAAAAGTTCAAACATATAATTATTTGTAATATCTACACTGCCCTGAAAAATGAGGTAACAGTCTACGCAGTATTTCAAAGCTTTAAGGTAACATCAAAATGTCGAAAGCAAGCAAACAGGTTAAAACACAGTAGTTGGCCAGGAGAGATTGCTCCCGCCTGTAATACCAGAACTTTGGGAGGCCTAGATGACTGGATCACCTGAGGTCAGGAGTTCAAGACCAGCCTGGCCATGATGGTGAAACCTGAGATCTACTAAAAACACAAAAATTAGCCAGGTGTGGTGGGAGACGCCTGTAATCTCGGCTACTCAGGAAGCTGAGGCAGGAGAATTGCTTGAACCTGGAAGGGGAGGTTGCAGTGAGCCTAGATGGCGCCACTGCACTGCAGCCTGGGAGACAAATGGAGACTCCGTCTCAAAAAAACAAAAACGGCGCCGGACACGGCAGCTCAAGCCTGTAATCCCAGCACTTTGGGAGGCCGAGGCGGGTGGATCACGAGGTCAAGGGATCCAGACCATCCTGGGTCAACATAGTGAAACCCTGTCTCTACTAAAAATACAAAAAATTAGCTGGGCATGGTGGCGCGTGCCTGTAATCCCAGCTACTCGGGAGGCTGAGGCAGGAGAATTGCCTGAACCCAGGAGGCGGAGGTTGCGGTGAGCCGAGATCGCGCCATTGCACTCCAGCCTGGGTAACGAGCGAAAGTCCGTCTCACACACACACACACAAAAAACCACCATAGTAGTGGCCAGGCACAGTGGCGCAGGTCTGTGGGAGGCCGAGTTGGGAGCACTGCTTGAGCTCAAGACTTCAAGACCAGCCTGGGCAACTCAAGAAAACAAAACACAGCAGGGTACTGGCTGCTATCGCATGGCCTGAAGCTTCTGCCGGGAGAAGGGACCATCCCAGCTCTCCAAAGGCCACAGTGGCTGCGAAGACCCTGTGCTCCTGCTGTCACCAGAGAGTGGCTCCATGCAGAACATTTCCAGGTACTAAACCAGTTAACAAGTATGTATTTTCAACGACCTCCTTTCAAGATAAACATTTTCCCATTTAAATGTGTTTTAAGTTCTAAAGATCAGCGGCAAAGCTAAGCAACATTGGGAGACACCATCTTTTCAAAAAAAAAAAAAAATACAGAAGTTAGAGACGTGCGGTGGCCCATGCCTCGCTAAGGCCTTTCACGTCAGGAGGATGAGGTAGGAGAATCACTGGAGTCCAGAAGGTCGAGGCCACAGTGAACCGACATCCCATCACTGCATTCCAGCCTGGGCGACAGAGCCAGACTCTGTCTCAAAAATAACTAAATAAACAGCAACCGAAAATGTGTGGGCTAAGTAAGCTCCCAGGAGAAGGATAGGAGAAAAAGCATCAGGCCAAAAGATCAAGACTCAGAGTCTGGTTTTCGGGAGGAGATGGTATCCTTCGCAGCACTTGAAACAAGGCTTCCCCACAGGGGGTGCTCAATGACTTTGTGTCAGTATGGTTCCAAACTGCAACAGCAAAATGCAACTACAGGGTTTCTGCGCACACAGAAACTTTCTGGGCCGGCCACTCGGCATCGAGCACCATAACTGGAAGGCGCTGGGATTCCTGGGGGACTGAATCCAGCCACAGGTGCGGACTGTAAATTATTGATCCGCGGGAAACTGTTACCGGATTCCACTTTAAAAGACGAGGGAGGGCCAGGAGCCGCGGCTCACGCCTGTAATCCCATCACTTTGGGAAGCCAAGGCAGGCGGATCACTTGAGGTCAGGAGTTCGAGATCAGTCTTGGCTAACATGGTGAAACTCCGTCTCTACTAAAAATGCAAAAAAAGCGCGTCTACTACCAGCTCCTCCAGAGGCTGAGAAGAATCGCTTTGAACCCGGAAGGCGGAGGTTGCAGTGAGATCAGGCCACTGCACTGCAGCCAGAACAAACAAACAACAAAAACCCCAGAGAGAGGGGGGAAAATACCCAAACACAACAGAAGGGGTGGGAAAGCCCACGCCGAGGGCTGCGCGGATCCCAGTCCTGCCCCTTCCCAACCCGTCCAGTGCCCACGCTCCAGGTCCGCTCCCGGCTCCCCTCCAGACGCCTTCCCGACGCCGACGGGGCGCAGCTGGAGGACTCGCGGGCCCACTGGCGCAGGCTCCCCCGCCACAGGGGCCAGGCGGCCTCTGACACCGACCCTCCCGGCGCGGCGCTACCGAGCAGATCGTCGCCAAAAGGGCGGGGCGGGAGGTGGGGCCCGGACGCCGCGAAGATTTACCTGTACGGCTTGGCCTCCAGCCTCAGGGAGGCCCCACGGAGGCCTGCTAGCCACGTACGGCCGCCCCCTCCCGGGCCCCGCGGGGAACCCTGGACTCCAGGCCGGGCCTGGGCCCCACAGCCGCCCAGGACCCGGACCAGGGCACCGGCGAAGGGCGCGGAGCAGCAGCAGCACAGCCGCCATGCTGGCCTGAAGCCGCGCCTGCGCGAGCCGCGGGCCACCACGGGGCGCCTGCGCGGTGTGGGCGGGGCCTACCGGACGCCTGCGCTGTGTGGGCGGGGCCTACCGGGCGCCTGCGCACCGGGTGCCGCCTGCCCCACCCGCCGTGCTAGCCGGGCTCTCTCGCAGCCGCCTGAGGCCCTGCAGCAGCGGGGCCGGTTTAGTGGGGGGCCGCGGCTGCCGTGTTGGTTTTTGACGCCCGCCTTGTATGTTCCGAGCCTGGCGGGTGAATAACTGGCCGGGTCCTGGCTGCGTGGTCGCGCTCCGCCCGCGCCGAGGGGCCGCCCTCGCAGGCAGCCTGGTCCCCCGCAGGGCTCCGTCACAGGCGCGGGCGGACGTCGCGGGTCCGAATCACCCCTTCGGGCTGAGAAGCGCAGGAACGGGGCGGGTTTCCCGCTTCTTGAGCAGCCGGAGGACGAGAACCGGAGCTGCAGCCGATCCAGGAAGGGCAGCCCGGACGAGGCGGGTCCTGAGGCGGGGAGCGCGCGGCGGGGCGCGGCCTGGCTGGAGTGCGCGGAGCTCTGAGCGGAGCGCGGGCCCCGTCCGCTCCGACCGACTCTCCTCGGAGGCGCTTCGGGCCACCGTCGTGCCCCGGGAGTCCGGTCAGGGTTTGTCCCGGGCGCTGCGCGAGCCCAGCGTGGGAAGCGGGGAGGCGCTGCCCGGAAGCCGGGAAGAAGGCTCTGTTCTCTTCGGGGTCCGCACTCCAGGCCCGGGCAGGGTCCCTCGTGGGCTCCCAGGTCCCCCGCCCCGTCGTCCGTCCGCCTGAGGTCCCGAGCTGACGCCGGGAGCTGCCTGGCCGTGGAGTAGGAACAGCGGAGACTAGCGCGGTCTGTTGCACGTGGAGGAGACTCACGCACCTTCACGCTTGTTTCCCGAACCCGGGACGGCGCGTGCGCGCGGCAGCCGGCATCCGAGTGCCCGGCCCGCGTCCGACACAGCCGGGCAGGAACCCGGCTCTTCTGTAAACGGGGAAACAGGTTCACACGCATTCAGAGTAACTAGCCCAGGACCACAGCTCCGAAGTCAGTGCACAGTTTCGAGGCCGGTCTCGCATCTGGGCCTGCGCTCCCTCCACCGCCGCGGACTAGACGGCAAAGCCAGCGGGCTGCGGTTCTCCTCCTCCTCCTCCTCGGCCCCTAACGCTCGGGGAATTTTGTTTTTTTTTTTTTTTGAGACGGAGTTTCGCTGTTGTTACCCAGGCTGGAGTGCAATGGCGCGATCTCGGCTCACCACAACCTCCGCCTCCTGGGTTCAGGCAATTCTCCTGCCTCAGCCTCCCGAGTAGCTGGGATTACAGGCACGCGCCACCATGCCCAGCTAATTTTTTGTATTTTTAGTAGAGACGGGGTTTCACTATGTTGACCAGGATGGTCTCGATCTCTTGACCTCGTGATCCACCCACCCCGGCCTCCCAAAGTGCCGGCCGGGGAATTGTTTTAAATATCGCGGTTATTCGCCCTCAGCCCTCCCGTGGGCCGGGTGCCTCTGCAGGGGTGCTCGTGGCTGGGAAGGCGTTCTGGTGGTTTGCGGAGAGGGCCTCCCCCTACACCCGGGGCTGCCACTGATTTTCACAACTGAACTGCCTTTTTTCTTTCTCTTATTGTACGGGCTGCCTTTGCAGTGAGTCCACCCTTGCCGTTTCCTCCTCTACTTTTTTCTTTCCCTATTTAAAACACACCTGGTTGGCCGGGCGCGGTGGCTCACGCCTGTAATCCCAGCACTTTGGGAGGCCGCGGTGGGCAGATCACGAGGTCGAGAGATCGAGACCATCCTGGCCAACATGGTGAAACCCCGTCTCTCTTTTTTATTAAATAAATAAATAAATAGGCCGGGCGTGGTGGCTCTTGTCTGTAATCCCAGCACTTTGGGAGGCCGAGGAGGGCGGATCACCTGAGGTCAGGAGTTCAAGACTAGCCTGACCAGCAAGGTGAAACCCCGTCTTAAAAAAATAATAGGCCGGACGCTGTGGCTCACGCCTGTAATCCCAGCACTTGGGAGGCCAAGGCGGGTAGATTACGAGGTAAGGAAATCGAGACCATCCTGGTCAACATGGTGAAACCCCGTCTCTACTAAAAATACAAAAAATTAGCTGGGCATGGTGGCGCGTGCCTGTAATCCCAGCTACTCAGGAGGCTGAGGCAGGAGAATTGCCTGAACCCAGGAGGCAGAGGTTGCAATGAGCCGAGATCGCACCATTGCCCTCCAGCCTGGGTAACAAGAGCAAAACTCCATCTCAAATAATAATAAAATAAATAAAAATAAAAAACACCTGGTGGACTTGGTCAGAGGGATAGAGCTTGTCACCGTCCTGCCCACTTTTCGCTTCCCAGCTCCATGTCCTGCTCTCACTCTCCAGCCTTGTCCCACGACCAACCCAACCAAACTTCTGAAAGGGTTTCTTGTGTCCTAAGAAGTGACTGATCCTCACACCCTTGATGCATATGTTCACAGGATTTGTGATTCAAAGCGCATACATTTGGATATGTTAGGGAAGAGTTTGAGAAGCAGTCCTGTTAATGTCTGAGATAATTTAAAATCATTTCCTGGCAACTCATCAGAAGCAGTGTGGGGTGTTGGCAAGAGGCTGCCCCTGGGGAAGAACACTGGGTTCTGTCCTCCTTGGCCTATGACCTGAAGCAAGTTACTAACTTCTCCAAGCCTCAGTTTTCCCAGCAGTAAAATGGGGGTGATAATTATCTGCAAAGTGAGGCTAGTATCAGCCTGGGGTTTCCCACAGGGTGGTTGTAAAGATAAAATGCAGTAAATGTCTGTGCGGGCAACTGACGAGACCAGAATCCCTGGCATCCAGTTATTACTGAGATGTCATGGGAAAGGAGTTCTGATGCATTCATTCAAACTCATCTATTTAACAACTGTGCTTTGAAGGCTGGCCACGTCCCAGACCTGCTGCTGAGAGGTGAGCTCTGTGGCTCTCAGCTTCAGTCCCACCGTAGTGCCAGGCACAGAGGCTCACATAGCCTCCAGCCATAGGGGTTTTAATGATTCGGGTGCCCCATGGTTTGGGGGTTTAGTTTTTCTCCATGATTTGGATCCAGGAAGAGGGACCGTAGGAGCGCTGGCTCCTGGGTCTGCCTTGGCCTCCAGAGCCCGCAGCAGAGCAGTTCCTCAGCTGTCAGGACACTGGCTTTCCCTCCTCCACACCATCTGTTCTTTCTGCACTTCCTAACTGCTGCTTGCTCACTTCGACTTTCACCCTTCCTCAGCCCTCTGAACTCTACACATCAGGATTTGGCATGACTTCCCTTCCCCGCCTGTTCTCTAGAGAGGCAGTCTCTTGGTGACTCCTGATTTGGGTCAGCCTCAGGCCTCTGGATGGCTACCGACCCCAGCTTCCCTCAGCTCTCACCCCATCAGGGAGAATGCCTCAGGAGCACCTAGGGCAGCCCTTTCAGCCTGGGCTGTGGGAAGAGAACGTGGATCTGTCTCCATTCCCAGGCCTTTGTTCCCTGTTAATGCAGAAGCATCCTGGGCTCTGTGTCTTAGTCCCTGTGTCAGTTGAAGGACTCGAGGCAAGCTGCACCACAAGCTTCAATTGCCTTATCTATCAAATAGTAATATTTAGCATTCTGGAGACAGAAGTTGATCCTTTGGGACTTTTTGGTTTTGAGATCTAGGCTTCGGGCCAGCTGCAGTGGCACATGCCTGTAATACCAGCACTTTCGGAGGGTGAGGTGGGTGGATCACTTGAGTTCAGGAGTTAAGGTTAGAGACCAGACTGGCCAACGTGACAAAACTCCGTCTCTACTAAAAACACAAAAATATTAGCCAGGCATGGTAGCAACATGCCTGTAATCCCAACTGCTTGGGAGGCTGAGGCATGAGAATCACTTGAACCCAGGAGGTGGAGGCTGCAGTGAGTCGAGATTGTGCTATTGCACTCCAGCCTAAGTGATGAGCAAGACCCTGTCTTTTTTTTTGAGAGACAGGGTCTCACTCTGTTGCCCAGGCTGGAGAGCAGTGGCACAATCTTGGCGCACTGCAGCCTCTGTGTCCCAAGTTCAAGTGATCCTCCCACCTCAGCCTGTAGCTGGGATTATAGGCGTGAACCACCGCACCAGGCCGGGATTGTTTCAAAAAAAAAAAGAACAACCACCACCTAGGCTTCCTTATTAATATGTATTTATTCTTTTTTTTTTCTTTTACATTTTTTTTTCATATTTTTTGCTGCTGGAGCCCACACCCCAGTGGGTCAGGGCGGTGCCATCCCTTACTAATACCTTAACAAATAATTACATATTTGCTTCTTCCCAAATTTGGCAGCAAGTAAACTTTTACATATTTTTTCTTTTTTTTTTGAGACAGAGTTTCGCTCTTGTTACCCAGACTGGAGTGCAATGGCGCGATCTCGACTCACCGCAGCCTCCGCCTCCTGGATTCAAGCAGTTCTCCTGCCTCAGCCTCCCGAGTAGCTGGGATTACAGGCGCGCACCACCATTCCCAGCTAATTTTTGTATTTTTAGTAGAGAGTCGGTTTCACCTCGTTGACCAGGATGGTCTCGATCTCTTGACCTCGTGATCCACCCTCCTCGGCCTCCCAAAGTGGTGCTGGGATTATAGGCGTGAGCCACCGTGCCCGGCGTACATATTTTTTCTTAAGCACATTTGTTTCTGCAGTTAGTCTGGCCTCTAGAGCTCGTGGATTGCAGCACCCATGACGAGAGCACCAGAGCTGCAGCGCTGGCAGCTCCTCTGCCGACTAACCATGTATTCTTTAAAGATGGAGTTTCGCCATGATGACCAGGCTGGTTTTGAACTCCTGACCTCAGGTGATCCACCCACCTCAGCCTCCCAAAGTGCTAGGATTATAGGCGTGAGCCACTGCGCCCAGCTTCCTCAGTGTTTGTTTAGACTTTTGGGTGTAGGGCTTTGGACAGGTGTTTAAGGACCTGGACTGGACGAAGTTTATGTCCTCTTCACATGATGGGAACTCTCACAGCCCCGAGCAGTGCATTCCAGATTGGCCGATCTGGCAAGCTAAAGCCAACGGTTATCTCACTGTTTCTGCAGGGCAGGAATCTGGGATTGGCTGGACTGGATAAGCTTGCAGTGCTGCTGATGGCCAGGGCTGTGGTTGTCAGAGCTTGACCGGCGCTAGAGGACCTTCGTCCAGGGTGGAGCACTCACACAGCTGTTGCCAGAAGGCCTCGGCTCCTCATCACATGGGCCCATCCTAGGGCTCGCCTGACCTTGCGGCTTCCCTGGAGCTGCTGACGACCAGAGGGCAGGAACCACATGGCCTTTTCCAATCACACCCTAGAAGTGACCGTCACTTTTGCTGCAGGTAATTGGTTGCCAAAACCCGCCCTTGTACAATGTGGGAGAGACTGGCCGGGGACATGAATGTCGGGCTCAGAGATCGTGGAGGGCCGGGGGCATGAATTTCGGGCTCAGAGGTTGTGGAGGGCCGGGGATATCAATGTCGGGCTCAGAGGTCCTGGAGGGCCGGGTACATGAATGTCGGGCTCAGAGATCCTGGAGGGCCGGGGACATGAATTTTGGGCTCAGAGGTCGTGGAGGGCCGGGGATATCAATGTCGGGCTCAGAGATCGTGGAGGGCCGGGGACATGAATGTCGGGCTCAGAGATCCTGGAGGGCCGGGGACATGAATGTCGGGCTCAGAGATCCTGGAGGGCCGGGGACATGAATGTCGGGCTCAGAGATCCTGGAGGGCCGGGGACATGAATGTCGGGCTCAGAGATCCTGGAGGGCCATCTTGGCTGCTGACCATTTTGGTGATTATATTGAGATCTGCTCAGCAAGACCCATCCAGTTAGCTCCTCATGTCCCTTGATCATGTGAACCAGGCCCAGGCCCAGCCTTCATCAGCTCAGGAACAGAAAGTCAGATCTGTTAAGTCCTTACTCTCCGTCGGTATTTAGAGAAGAGACTTTGCCTTTTGGGTCCTGGAGCTCAAATGTGAACTGTGAAGAGAGCTGTTAGCATCTTTCCAGCTGTGCCTGAAGGAGGCCAGGCACACAGAGTGGAAAGAAGGTGGGAGATGCACATCCCTCAACCAGGCTGTGTCCCTTGAAAGGGTGTGCTCGCTTTCATGTCCTGGTCATGAACCAATCCCCTTTTTACTATGCAAATTCAAGTTGGCTGCTGGCCTGTCCACGTCCATTAGCTGCTGGGCTGCTTGCACTGGCCAGAGGCCTGGGGACCTTCCTCAACATCTCTGGCAAGGGTTCAGAAGCCTCATATGGGTTCAGCTACTAGGAAAAAAGGGTCACCTCTGGGCATCCAATTTATAGCCTATTCCTAAAAGTAACTCATTTGAGATGTCTCTGGTCCCAGGGAGTATTTGTTAGGGGAATGATAAGATATATGGAGCAAGAAAGGGTTTGCTGGTCTGTGGCCGGTCTCCCAGCTTTGAGCTGAATGTGCGATGCAGCCAACAGGATGCTCTGCTTGTCTCTGGGACACAGCCAGGCACCAGATGGGTTATGTCTTCACCACATCATTCCCAGCCAGCCACAGTCAGCAGGACTGCCCGCGATGCCTGCTGGATGGAACCTGGAGGCTCCCTCAAGGATGGTGGTCTCATGCCATCAGGCGACAGGTTATCACCGGCTCGTCCTGGATCCCAGTGGCCTCTGACCATCATAGGTTCTCAGCCCATCAGTGGTGGATCTGCTGCTCTGGAGTTTCCCATGAACCACATTGGAATTTCGATGGCTACAGCTGACAAGGAAGAGGCTCAGTCACCCGTGACACATCTCAGCCTTTTCTGCCAACAGCGAAAAGAAACTACTTGGCTGGCCTCGGTGGCTCACACCTGTAATCCCAGCATGTTGGGAGGCAAAGAGGGGTGCATCACTTGAGGTTAGGAGTTCAAGGCCAGCCTGGCCAACATGGTGAAACCCATCACTACTAAAAAAATACAAACAAAAAAGCCAGGAATGGTGGCGTGCACCTGTAATCCCAGATGCTCGGGAGGCTGAGGCCGGAGAAGCACTTGAACCCGGGAGGTGGAGGTTGTGTGAACTGAGATTGCACCACTGCACTCTAGCCTGGGCAACAAGAACGAAACTCTGTCTCAAAAAAAAAAAAAAAAAAAAAAGGTGGGTTTTCTGGATGAGAGGTTTGTGGCTGCAGAGAACGAAAGGACTGGAAATGAAAGATACTTTCTGTAGGGTAGCAGGGAATGGCCCGTAACAGATACTGGTTGAGCAACCACACTACATGGGGCATTGTCCTAGAAAACGGCCCATCCTCAGTGAGCTTCCATTCTGTTGACAGAACAAAAGCACAGCAAACAAAGCACATGGCGAGCAGGACAACGAGAGGCTTTGGACAGAGTCTGCGATGCCACAGGCAGGGCAAACTTCACAGAAAAGAGGACTTTACCTGCAAATTTTTTTTTTTTAAAGACGGGGTTCTACCATGTTGGTCAGGCTGATCTTGAACTCCTGACCTCAGGTGATCCACCTGCCTTGGCCTCCAAAGTGCTTGGATTACAGGCCACCACACCCGGCCTACCTGCTAACTTTTAAATTTTTTGTAGAGATGGAGTTTCGCTCTTGTTACCCAGGCTGGAGTGCAATGGTGCGATCTTGGCTCATCGCATCCTCTACCTCCTGGGTTCAGGCAATTCTCCTGCCTCAGCCTCCTGAGTAGCTGGGATTACAGGCACGCGACACCATGTCCAGCTAATTTTTTGTATCTTTAGTAGAGACGGGGTTTAACCATTTTGACCAGGATGGTCTCGATCTCTTGACCTCGTGATCTACCCTCCTCGGCCTCCCAAAGTGCTGGGATTACAGGCTTGAGCCACCGCACCCGGCTGAGATGGAGTTTCTATGTCGCCAAGGCTGGTCTTGAAGTCCTGGGCTCAGGCGATCCTCCCACCTCAGCTTCCCAGTGTTGGCATCACAGGCGTAAGCCACTGCACCTGGCCAAATGACTATCTTAGAAAGGGACTTTAGAGCCCTCACTAAGATGAGGTGCAGGAGCAAAAGGAAGTGCATATCCCCAGGACAGGAGAAGCTGCGGAGAGAGAGGCCTGGCCAGCCCAGTCGGTGTGGCCAGCTGGGAGGGGCAGGTAGCAGGGGAGGGGCATAGACCAGGGAGTGCTGGAGAGTCCGAGGGTAAGTGCTGCTGAGGACTAATAAGCAGTAGTGTGGTAAAAGCACTACTTTGGCTGCTGGGAGGAGAATGGACTCTAGAGAGGCCAGAAGTGAGAATGTGAGGCCAGGGAGCAGGGAAGAGGCTTTTGCAGCTGTGCCAGGAGGTCAGGACCCAGGCAGGAGGGAGGCAGGGGGCTGGTTCTCCAAGAGGCTCCAGTAAAGGCTGGGTGTCTTGGTGCTCACTCTGGGCTGCCTTTTCTGATCTGCAGCCCCAGGAAGAGGCCAGCGTGTGGCACCTGGTGGCCCAGCAGCTGAGAGGGTTGAGGGTGAGTCTCCAGAACAGGGCAGACACCACCTCAGTGCGGATGTGGAGCAGGAGCAGTGCTTTATTTTCATTGTAACTTAAAGGGCTGCTTTGACAAGGAACAGATCGTTTCTACATAAAATCTCAACCATGGCCGGCCCACTTAAGACCCCTCTCCTCAGGAATCCGTGGACAAACAGAACTACACAAGTGGACTCTGGCTGGCGCTGGGAGTTTCTTGGGTGCTCTCAGAATGCATTTCTGGTTTCTGGAAGGCTCAGGGAGCTCTGGCTGGGGGGCACGAGGGCTGATCAGGTCAAGTTCAAGATTACCTGGAGATTAGAAGGGTACTTCGAGTTTAGATATGCCTGCAACCAAAGCATGCAATTCGGGTTTGACCATCCCTGTCCCTGTTTATTTAATTTTTTCTTTTTTTGAGACGGAGTTTCGCTCTTGTTACCCAGGCTGGAGTGCAATGGCACGATCTCGGCTCACCACAACCTCCACCTCCTGGGTTCAGGCGTTTCTCCTGCCTCAGCCTCCCAAGTAGCTGGGATTACAGGCACGCACCACCGTGCCCAGCTAATTTTTTGTAATTTTTAGTAGAGACAGGGTTTCACCATGTTGACCAGGATGGTCTCGATCTGTTGACCTCGTGATCCACCTGCCTCGGCCTCCCAAAGTGCTGGGATTACAGGCTTGAGCCACCGCGCCTGGCCAATTTTTTTTTTTTTAAAGACGGGGTTTCACCATGTTGGTCATGCTGGTCTTGAACTCCTGACCTCAGGTGATCTGCCCGCCTTGGCCTCCAAAGTGCTTGGATTACAGGTGTGAGCCACCACGCCCGGCCTTTTTTTTCTTTCTGTCCCTGCTGTTTTATGTTTTATTTAGCTTGATGGTTTTCTTCAGCCCTGAGGCCGTCCTATATGAACTTACAGTTTCGTAAACAGAACAGACAAAATAGAACAAACTCCATAGACTATGTTTGCAACACTTGACTGGTGAGGGGAAGAACCGAAGCGCTTGTCTAGGACCATGTGGGCTAGGATGACACCGTGGCTCCCGGGGGCCTAGAGGAGCTGGCCTCCCTGCAGCGTGGAGACCACGGGGGAATGACTGACAGTAATTTAACAGCCAGTAGCACTTCTATATTTAAGTCATACAAAACCTATTCTTTAATTTTCTGGAAAAAATTAAAGTTGCTTCTGAGTGGGTCCCTGCGTCTGTTGCAGTTGGCGAGCATGGAGTTTCCCCAAGTTGGGATGTCAAAGAAATAAAAAAATTTGAAGTTGCAAAGTAAAACTGGGTTTCGGCAACAGAATGTATTAATTCATACGGTCCTGAGCACCTACGCTGTCCCTGTGTTGTTTTCTTTTTCTGAGACTGGGTCTTGCTGTGTTCCCAGCCTGGAGGGCAGCAGCATGATCACGGCTCACTGCAGTCTTGGCCTCTGGGCTCACGGACGCCTCACAGCCCGCTAATGTTTCAATCTTGGGGTAGAGCTGAGGTCTTGCTAGTCTCAACTCCTGGCCTCAAACAGTCCTCCCACCTCAGCCTCCCAAAGTAGCTCCTGCTTCTTAATGTATGAAACATTTGAAACATTACCTGCTAAATTTGGCTAAATTCCTGGAAGTGTCTTATTTATTTATTTTTTGTAAAAAGTGAGTTAGAGAGAGAAAAAGGAGAAACAGCTAACTCTCACACCGAGTGGGAAGGGTTCCCAGAGGGGGAAGACCAGAGAAGGAAAGCTCCTCTCAGGCTGAGAGAATCAAAAGAGGGAATCCAGGAGAGGAAAGCAGCTTCCACGAAGGGAGTGTGGAAGGGGATGGAGACAGATGGAGGGGAAGACAGGCTTCCATGAGAGTGTGGAAGGGGTTTCCAGAGGGGAAATCCAGGATAGAGAAAAACAGCTTCCACTTGAGTATTTGTGGAAGGGACCCAAACATGGAGTCCCCTGAAGTGTTATTACATCACCTTCTGACTGCGTGCTGCGGCTCATGCCTGTTAACCCAGCAATTTGGGAGGCAAAGGCAAAAGGACTGCTTGAGCCCAGGAGTTCAAGACCAGCCTGGGGAATATGGTAAGACCCTGTCTCTACAAAAAAAGACAAAAAAATAACTGGGGGTGTTGGTGTGTATCTCTAGTCCCAGCTACTTTGGAGGCTGAGGTTGGGGGGCTGCTTGAGCCTGGGGGTCAAGCCTGTAGTGAGCCTTGATTCTGCCACTGCACTCTAGCCTAGGTGAAAAAGACCCTGTTTCAAAAAAAGCAAAAAACTTATTTTTCCAAAGATACCTGTGAGTTTACACATTTTTTTTTTTTTTTTTTTGAGACAGAGTTTTGCTGTTGTTACCCAAACTGGAGTGCAATGGCATGATCTCGGCTCACCACAACCTCCGCCTTCTGGGTTCAAGCAATTCTCCTGCCTCAGCCTCCCAAGTAGCTGGGACTAGAGGCACGCACCACCATGCCCAGCTAACTTTTTGTATTTTTAGTAGAGATGGGGTTTCACCTTGTTGACCAGGATGGTCTCGATCTCTTGACCTCATGATCCACCTGCCTCAGCCTTCCAAAGTGCTGGGATTATAGGCGTGAGCCACTGTGCCCGGCCGAGTTTAAACATTTTAAAAGGTAACTTGTCATATGAACTTTAAGGTTATCCCTTGCAGCCAGGCACAGTGGCTCACGCCTGTAATCCCAGCACTTCGGGAGGCCAAGGTGGGTAGATCACCTGAGGTCAGGAGTTCAAGACCAGCCTGGCCAACAGGGTGAAACTCTGTCTCTACTAAAAGTACAAAACTTAGCCGGGTGTGGTGGTGTGTGCGTGCAGTCCCAGCTACTCAGGAGGCTGAGGCAGGGGAATCACTGGCACCAGGAGGTGGAGGTTGTAGAGAACCGACATCACGCCACTGCACTCCAGGCTGGCCAGAGCGAGACTCCATCTAAAAAAAAAAAAAAAAAAAAAAAATCCCTTGCAAGCTCCTCTCTAGCTAAGACATCCTGAAATACTGTTGAGGATTTGAGGAATGTGCGATTAAACCTTTCCTGAATTCAGCACTAGGAAGAAGTTCTGAATCTGCTGCCCTGTGGTTTAAGCATTGCAGTTATTCCCATCACTGGCACAGCCAGGGCATGGCTGTCACCGTGCCTCTGACCACATCACTCAATTCCAGGGATGGATGGAGCCTCCATGGCCAGTACATCTTCGGCGGCTTTCAAAATCCAAGGAGCATCTGGAGAGAGTATTGTGTCATGTGCTGGATACAGCCACGCACAGGAGTTTCTGGTACGTCACGTGCCAGTCACGCATCCACAAGAGAGAGGCTGGAGTCCTTGCTGGGATCCCGCTGTTTCCTCCCTGCTACTGCAGCAGCACGTGGAAGAGCAGGCACTCCAACCTTTGCTGAATGAGTGCACGATTAATCTTCCCAGCTAAGTCCCTGCTTACATTCATTACACAAAACACATCATACAATATTATGACAGCCTTGCTAGGAAAAAGTCTTGGGAACTCTTTTTCTTTCTTTTTTTTTTGAGACAGAGTCTCACTCAGCAGTGGCATGATCTTGGCTCACTGCAACCACCATTTCCTGGGTTTCGCCATGTTGGCCAGGCTGGTCTTGAACTCCTGACTTCAGGTGATCTGCCCACCTCGGCTTCCAAACTGTTGGGATTACAGGGGTGAGCCACAGTGCCCAGCGACTTTTATTTTCTCCTCCTCCCAACCTTCCCTGGCTCAGTCAACTCTCCAGCCTCAGCCTCCCAAAGTATTAGGATCATAGGCATAAGCTACCATGCCTAGCCTGTACCTTTTATTTATTTTAAGACAGAGTTTTGCTCTTGTTGCCCAGGCTGGAGTGCAATGGTACGATCTTGGCTCACTGCAATCTCCGCCCTCCAGGTTCAAGTGATTCTCTTGCCTCAGCCTCCCAAGTAGCTGGGACTACAAGCATGTGCCACCAAGCTTGCTAATTTTTTGTATTTTTAGTAGAGACATGATTTCTCCATGTTGGTCAGGCTGGTCTTGAACTCCCAACCTCAGGTGTTCTGCCCACCTCTCAAAGTGCTGGAATTACAGGCACGAGCCATTTTGCCCAGCCTCTATTATTTATTTTTATTGCCTAATTATAGCCTTATCAGTTTTGGTGTCATTTTATTTTTTATGAGACAGTTTTGCTCGTTACCCAGGCTGGAGTGCAATGGCACGATCTCGGCTCACCACAACCTCCGCCTCCTGGGTTCAGGCAATTCACCTGCCCTCAGCTTCCTGAGTAGCTGGGACTGCAGGAACACGCCACCATGCCCAGCTAATTTTTGTATTTTTAGTAGAGACGGGGTTTCACCATGTTGACCAGGATGGTGTTGATCTCTTGACCTCGTGATCCGCCCGCCTCGGCCTCCCAAAGTGCTGGGATTACAGGCCTGAGCCACTGCGCCCGGCCCTTTGGTGTCATTTTAAAGTCTAAATATATGATGTGTTTTTTCTCAATATGTCACAAATTGCATACTTATAATCCAACTGCAGTCCGTGTTGGTCATGCTGGTCTTGAACACCTGACCTCAGGTGATCTACCTGCCTTGGCCTCCAAAAGTACTGAGATTACTGGGTTCGCTTGACCCCGGGAGGCAAAAAAATAAAAGAGTCTAGCTTTTTACTTTTTTTCCAATACATTTTATATATATTTGAGGTTGACAACATGATATTGAGGGTGGGCATGGTGACTCATGTCTGTGAGTTCAACACTATGGGAGACCGAGGTTGGGGGACTGCTTGAGGCCAGGAGTTCCAGACCAGCCTTGCGACATAGGCAGACCCCCCATCTTGGCAAGAAATTTTTTTTGATATTAACTAGGTGTGGTGGCTCATGCCCGTGGTCCCAGCTACTCAGAAGGCTGAGGTGGGAGGATCCCTTGAGCCCAGGAATTTAAGGTCATAGTGAGCCTTGACCACACTACTGCACTCCATCCTGGGGGACAGAGTGAGACCCTGTCTCTAAAAGAAAAGGTAAAAATAAAATAAAGTAAGTTTCACGTTATATGCACTTTACCACAGCGAAAATTGGGGAGAAAATAGAATACAAAATAGCACTTGACAATAGACACTGCAATTGATAGGGCTACAGACGAAGTGTGGGGTTTAGAGTTTTAAAAATTGGCCAGGTCACACCTGTCGCCCCAGCACTTTGGGAGGCCAAGGTCAGGAGTTAGAGACGAGCCTGACCAATGTGGTGAAACCCTGTTACTACTGAAAATACAACCAGGCATGGTGGCAGGCGCCTGTAGATGGGCACCTGAGGCAGGAGAACTGCTTGAACCCAGGAGATGGAGGTTGCAGTGAGCCGAGATTGCGCCACTGCACTCCAGCTTGGACCATAGAGCAAGACTCTGTTTCAAAAAAATAAAAAATAAAATAAAAAATAGGCCAGGTGCAGTGGCTCACTCTTGTAATCCCAGCATTTTGGGAGGCTGAGGTGGATGGGTCACCTGAGGTCAGGAGTTCAAGACCAGCCTGGCCAACCTGGTGAAACCCCGTCTCTAAAAAAAAATAAAAAAGAAAGAAATAGGCTGGGTGCAGTGGCTCACACCTGTAATCCCAGCACTTTGGGAGGGTGAGGCAGGTGGATCACTAGGTCAGGAGATTGAGACCATCCTGGCTAACACAGTGAAACCCTGTCTACACTAAAAATACAAAAAATTAGCCAGGTGTGGTGGCAGGCGCCTGTAGTTCCAGCTACTCGGGAGGCTGAGGCTGCAGAATCGCTTGAACCCGGGAGGCGGAGGTTGCAGTGAGCTGAGATTGTGCCACTGTAATAAAGCCTGCGCAACAGGGCAAGACTAGGTCTCAAAAAACAAAAACAAATTGTGGGGTAGTTTTAGTGGTACTGAGTTCGAAGGCTCCAAGAATATCTGAATCATATTTAATCCCACAGCTCCTCCTGTCTTTGAGATTTGGAAGGTGATACCCCAGAGTTGCGGTAATTGAGAAGCAAGACACATCACAATTTATTGTGAAATGAGCTTGAGTTCCAGAATCTAATGCTAGCAATACTGGTGAGCTGGGACTGACCATAGGGCAGAGGCCAGGCTTGTCAGACTCACAATGAGCTATCAGTTCTCACCACAGGGCCATAGGCAGGAGGCAGAAGGGAAAGGCCAGGGGTGAGTCTGCTCCGCCCTTTTCTGCCACTTGCGGAGAAGGGGAAGCAGAAAGAAGGCT